TTGAGAATATCGGGTGTATTTTCTGTAAAACTGTAAAAGCAAAAGTAAAACCACAGGGCGACAGTGCGACCTCGAAACTGGAATAATTTGCACGTCTGCAGAATTGAACGATGTAACAGAGTTTCTAATAGATGTCTAGATCTAGATATAGATTTAATCTAGGTCTTGTTAGTTTAGAGAGATTGTAAAAAAAGGTCAATCCGACGACGTCACATACCAGGCGACTTCTCCGAGGTGCGGGGGGTCAATTATCAACGCTGTGTGCGTTATCGGTTCCGGCAGAAATGAGATGAAAAACATATTTATTTAGATCTATTGGAAATCTAACTGCTTATTCAGTAACTGATTATTCTACGTACAACTAACATCGGACTTCACCCTAGCAAGTACCGGAGAAATTCCACTACACACTGGACATCGTTTGGGTAACAAAAGGAAGTCATACTATACTGAACATCTAGACTGTTTACCATAGATCTAGATCTAGTTTAAAATTAAAGCCAGGACAGTTCAAGTTATCACACTTACACGACCCCCTCCCCCCAAAATAGGCAAAAAAAAACAAAACAAAAAAAACGTTAAAAAATCTGAAACTACACTGTAGCCTACAGACAAAACTGGAACCACATGTGAAGATGAAAGTCTTTCCATCTGATGTATTGTTTCTTATCATCATTGTACCTTTGATAGGTACAGAGTTGTACCCATGGTTCATACTGAATGAATTAAGGCTTACTATATTTTGAATCACCCAGTATTAGGCTATAACTAGTAACACTTATAAAATATTTCCAACAACCCAGAACATATCGATCTATAAAGCAACCCAAATATCATTTATCATAATTTGTTTGTCTACAGCATTTTTTGTTCATTTCTGTGAACTTAATTTTTGTGATTTGTTTTTTCCTTTTTTTTCATTTCTTACTACAGTTTAAGAATGATAGCTAATTCATTTTTATTTTGTTTACAGGATGGACGCTGAAAGATACTCAATGCTTCAAATTTGTCCAAGCACTTTTAAGTTGGGTGCAAGCAAAGAAATTGTGCAAAAGGTAAATCTCATAGGCAGTTTTTTGACAAATAAAATGTACGACTCAGTATAGATCTAATTTGTTGATTTATAAACCCCATCAAGCTGTCATACCAGATGGTATTTTAAAATGTATCGAGGCCCATTAGTTCTACAAAATAGCTCATCAGTTACACTTTTGGTATAAATGATATTTTTTTCTTTCTAGAAACTATTTGGTACATGTATGGCGTTGCTATATACCTGCATATCTGCTCCGTACACATGTGTTAATGTTATGTTAATTTTTGGAGTGGCAACATTGTGTAATAGTTTTGTACCATCCCCTGCCTTTAGGTGTGTTTGATGAATAAATCAAACTGTTGCTATTCTATTTTTGTTACAGCTATGGAGGAGATTTGGTGAAAATAAAGAGCCAGTGTGAACAACAGTGGCTAAGTCACTTTATTGTGGAGCATTTGGATGGAGGACAGACCAGTGGTCATGCAAAGGATTCTGTTTCTCCAAATGATAATCCGTCCATTTTATCTGCGTGGATTGGTGTGTACCCTATTGTTTTTACTATTCTCCAGCGTGTATTTAAATGGCCAAGATTTAAAGATTTTGTAAACCAAGCTGTTTAAGATTATAATGAATAAGTTTTGCCAAAATTATTTTCTTCTGCAAGAGAATGTGGATTACAGTGAACCGAGTTACAATGAGTTATACTTTTCGTAAGACTTTAACTTTTGTATGAGTTGTACTTTTCGTATATTATGACTTAAGTAAGAGTTTTACTTTTCATGTGACTTTAGAAAAGTAACTCAGAAGGCCTCATTAAAAGTTTTCTAGTATGGGTAGGAAAACTGCAATGATATATCCTACTGTGAAGAATGCTTTTATCTTTTTAGTCTAGGCTTTCCATTTTACATGGCATGGTGTATTTTGTTTGATTATGACAAGTCAATAGGTTAGTTATGTTTCCCTTTCTTCTTTCGATTTATTTCAATCCGTCATCATGATGATTTAATGTGCCTTTATACTTTGTAATATATTTTTGTTTTGTTTTTCTCAATAGAGCTACATCACAGAACGTTTAATTCAAACTCCTGTTACCAAATGAGAATAATTTTTTCAGCCTGAAGTTTAAGTTGTCTGAGAGTAACATTTAGTACCCAGAGGTTACAAACATGATCAGTCAACAAGGAAGTTGAAGGTTTCCAGCGATTGGTGTATGAATTTTTATTTTTAGCCTTTCTGGAATACTTCCTCTCAGACTATGATATTCTGATAGGAAAACAATTAGGTCCAGCTATGACCTACAGTACACTCAATAGGGAGTTAAACTTTGTCAACAAACAGAATATCATTGTTACCTGTAGCTCCCCCATTAACGTTTTCCTTCTACCTCACAGGTTTTTTGCGTCTCCCTGACAAGACATTCCAGTGGTCGAATGGCCAGCCTGCAGTAGAGCAAGATGGTTTCTGGGCACTGGATGGTCTAGGACAGGGAAAAAGTGAGTGGAGTACTTACGCTGTTCCTCAGATATGATTATAACTGATTGTGAAAAGTTCAGGGCAGATGCTTTCATGGTTTATTTATTTTTTGTCCACTGTAGGCAACCTGTTTTGAAGTGCCAAGTGGTAGACATATTATTTACTTTTCCATCATAAGATCATGTGTGTCAGGTCAGATCACTTTGATTTACAAACTTGAAAGCCTCATCGTTTAGGAACTTAAAAATTTTCAACACCTGTTCCAAAGGTCTGTCTTGTCTCAGCAGAGGTAGATAATTTGTTATCCTAAATCTTAGCTCATCGCTGATCTAAATGGAAGTATAGTCAAGGTGTATAACTTGCATTACTTTGTTTCAGATGATCCCTTTTCTAAGCAATGCTGTGATATGAGGAGGCAGATGCTCAGTGAAGTAGACCTCCGCTGGCATCTCGGTGATTGTGAAGTGCCCCGCTCCTCCGTGTGTGCTCTTAAAGCCTGTGAAGAGCATTCTTTTCTGTGTGACCAGAGATGCATTGGTCAAGCCAGGGTTTGTGATGGCCTTTGGGATTGTCTGGACGGCTCAGATGAGGCAGACTGTGGCAGTGGTTAGTACTGGGTGTCCCCAAAAAAGAAAGAATTTAATTATGCAAAATTTGAAACTAACTGAACTGGAATTAGCTCATCAACCAAGTCCTTTTTTGTAACATATTAAGTCGGACAAAGACATGCAGGTTGTTCATATAAAAAAGAATCAATTTGAAAAACAGCTCTAAGTGTATGATCTAATAACAATTGTATATCAAAAGGAGAAATGTCAGATTTAAAGGGTAAAAAGTGAACAGCAGCGGTTGATGTTGTGATTGATAAAAAGATAATGTCTCATCATGGACTCGGTGTGAACCATTTTTTTATTCTGTTATATTTTCAAACGCAGATGAAGTAAGTCTGGCTCCAACAACAACCTCCCAGCACTGTGGGGGTCTTCTCAGGGGATACTCAGGCACATTCCATTCGCCAAATTTTCCGGAACATTATCCGTCATTTTCAAAATGTATATGGAAACTTGAAGCACCGCCATCATTCATCATCAAAATTTCAGTAAGCTCTTTATTACTTTTCATAGTTGTATTTTTTAAGTGTTCTGCTATTTGTTTTAGTGCAATCGCCAGCTGGTGCTCGCGACTGCAGACTAAATTTGAATTTTTGTTTGTCTTGCTTCCTTAAATTCTGTGTTCTCCTTTTCAGATTTAACTTTTGATTTGAAATTTATCCACAGTCAATAGAATGTTATCTGAGAAACAAGATTTGTTTATAATGATATAGGGTAGTCAGTATGATTATAAATTTAATAAAAATGACATGTGACATATAGCCCTTTACCCTGATTAAAGAATGCATGTTCTGAGCACTCTACAAATTTGACAGATTACCAAAATTTCTTCTAAAATTTGTTAGATTCCTGTAAACAATCTTACCGAAGTGTATGAAAGTTTGGAAACTTCCTGGTTGAGTAAAAAAAATGTTTCTCTATTATTGTATATAATTTCAGATTGCTGCTCTTGATGTAGAGGAAAAGTATGATTCTGTGACAATATATGATGGTGGAGAGATTTCTCCAGAATTGTCTCTTGCTGTGTACAGTGGAAGCGTTGTACAGAAAGAAGTCAAATCCTCTGGTAGTTTTGTTACTGTGCAGTTTAGTGCGGACCATGCTATTGAAGGGAAAGGCTTCAATATATCTTGGCAATCAGGTAGCATGAATTACCCTTCTACTCTTTTAATCATTGTACAATAAATGTATTTATAGATATTCAGATATTTGAGGGTTTGAGCTCCCAACTGACAGACTGACATCTTCTTCTTCTTCTTCTTCTTCTTCAGAGAGTATGCTGACTGTAAGTTCTTCATCTCACAGCTCTTTTTATTTTTGTTTTTATTTTTTATGTTTGTTTTTTTCTCTTATCTTGTTTTAATACCCCAGCATGGCTCAGGGGGTGAAATGGGGGACCTACCTGGAGAACTGACATGAGCAGGCTATCCAAGGGAGTTAGTCCAACTGTGAAATCATATTGTCAGTCTTTTGTGTCACAGTTGGAAGGGTTGTTAGACTGAACTTACTATTTGGCTCTAATTTATTCTTGAGGTTATCTTTATTCATACTTTTTGTTGAAAAAAAGTGAACTTTTAGCTGACAATGTGTATTTTGACCCAATTAGTGGAAAAAAGAAACTACTAATGAATGATAATCTTATAGTCTTTCATCTTTGCTCCCTGTCTGGAGCTCATATCTTAGTCAGGACATACTTACGAGCCTGCTGTAAGGACCACCTGTCAAAGACAATCACCTGTACAAATGACCACTTCTCTCCTTGAATTTTTTCTATATTATGACCACTTTTCTCAGCAATAGGTGGTTGTCTTGGACAGGTTTGATTATTGATATATATACACAATTATATTGTATATCTGTTTATATTGGAACTTTTTTTCTTTTATGTTTTCCAGTGAGCCAATCACAAGTTGGGACAAGTAGCCGACAGCTGTTTGCTAAGCAGGTGGAATCAGTATTGTCATTTCCTGTGGAAGGTCATCTTGACCAGAGTTCTGTTGTTGGACATGAAACTTTTGAATGGCTCATCAGTTCACCTGTGCAGGGATCTCTCCTGTTCCTACAGGTGATTTCTGTTTGTTTTAATATGAGTTTATTACATTTTGGGGTACGAATAGATGTCTTAGAGTAACTTAGAGAGTAGAGGACAGAAACCAGTGGTTAAAAGCGGAAATGAAGGAAGGAAAAAAGGCAGAGACAAAGAGTAAAGTAGAAGGGAAAATGAGTAAAAAAAGGCAAATATGACACTTGGGCCTAACAATAAAATTTATAATGTAATATGTATCCCTTAGATGTTTATAGGTGTTACTCCACTAGAAACAGGGTTGGACCTCTTTTTATTGGAATGGCAGCTGTGGATTTTATTTACATCGTATTTATATACTGACTTGAGGAGGCACCACTCTAACCCCATACTTTATTAAAAGTTCAGAGTTTAAAAAACTTGTTATTCTGGGAACTCGCATGTCAAGTTCATTTAAAAAGAGCCAGTCACTTCAACCCAATAATGATGAAGTTACTCTAATTATCAGTTTTCTGATTCTTTTTACCTTTTTCAACTGACTTTTTTCCCTAACTCGGAAGCCTGCCATGTATCTTTTATCGCTTTGTCTATCAAGCTATCAATTTAGAATGTCTTTTCTTTTTTTCTTAAATTGTCTCTGGTTACTTTTACAGTCAGTTTTTGGTATCCAAACCCTTCTGAGAAAGTGATTTTCCTGCTTTGTAGAGTCCTTTTATAGCCTTAATATTATGGTTCTGTAATGGGTCTAATTAGTGCCTATTATTTTATTATATTTTATTTCGTACTTATATGTCATGACATGGTGGAATCAGCTGCTTACCAATTTTAGGGCCTAGGGAGTTAAAGGTATAATTTTAAAGCTAGTTCATTTGTCTTGCTTTTGATTTTTTTTAAATGCCCGTCTATCCCGAACAGAAGTAGGAATGTTTGCGATTGAAGGAGGCGGGGATTTCCTGGAGTCAGAGGCAAAATTAGTGACTTTCAAAGCTTCAGCGTGACCTTGGAAACTGCATATTTACTTTTTTGAGCTTAAGATTAACTTTTTTTCAGGAAAATGCATGCAGAAATGTGTTTTTAATGGACTTAAAAGGTGCAGAGCCAAAAAAAAATTTAAAAAAATTTGTCCAATGGCCAGAAAAATGCCAGTTTCTTTGATTTAATTATTTTTGACGAATGCCTGTTTCACCCTGACGTCTCGCGTATTTTTAATTAATTTTTGTTGTATGTATAATACATATTTCATTTCTTTTATTTTATATAATTTTTTAAAGAAAAAAAGACTGGTTTTCAAGAGCCAACTCGACATGATGTACTTTCCCCCTTAAAATATGTGGAAAGAATGTCTGTGATGTGCATATTTGACTTTTCTCCCCTTTCTGTTTCAGATTTCAAATATCAGCCTAAGCTCGGGCGAATCTATTAAAATCTTCGATGGCCGAGGAAGCCACGATTCCCTTGTGGTAGAGCTTACCCCGAACCAAAGTCAGGCTTTGCAGCATCATGAATCTCACCTCTGGCACATGCAAGACCTGAATGCCTTACATATTCCACAAGTGATCGTCTCATCTGGGCCGCATATTTATGTACAGTGTATATTTAAAAAAGGCAGCTTGCCAAAGATTGCAATTTCTTATAAGATGGGTAAGGATGTCATTATTTTGGTGATATATGTGCTTTTCTTTTACTTATCGCAAAGTTGATAGTTTATTTTTTGAGGAAACAGTTCATGTGATACACCATTCTTGTGTTTTAAACTGCAATGTAGTGACTACGGGGATAATTTTTTACTTCAAAGTTGGTTCTTGTAGCTGTGATATATTTGGTGGTACGTTGAAATGAAACACGCTCGAAGTTATGCTTCTACTATCTAGTTTTCTTCTGCAAAGTATTTCAGAAAAACTTTGCGAAGGTATAGCGTACATTTTCTGAATTTTGTTGACATTCTCTGATGACTGTGGGCAGTGGTCAAAATGAATGAAATATAGGCCTATTAATATAGTTTTGATGCTATGATGTCCAAGAATGATCTCATTTTAAATAGGGAATGCATAGTTTCTCAAACAACAATATAAGGTGATCTTTATGAGTTCTCATGGAATAAAAAGTGACAGTGTACTTATCTTAAATTGACATTCACAGATAATGACTGGTTTGTTTCAGGTTGTGATGTAAATAGTCTATCTAGTGCAGTGCTTATTCGTTCTCCCGGGTACCCGTCTTCGAAGTACCCGCATGACCTCAACTGCTCGTGGAATGTCCCTGAGAACAATGAGGGGAAGACCCTGTCTCTTCTCTTTATGGCTCCATTTGTGACAGAGGCTGGGAAAGACTATGTACAAGTAGGTTGTTACGAGTGTAGGATTTTTTTTTTACCCGTTGTGTTTTTTGCTTCAGTGGTTGATTTAAGTTGTGTCTTCTCAAAGAATTTTTGTAGAAATTGGGAAGCGCAGCCAGCTTACCAATGTCTGTAGTGTAGCAGTTAGTCGCTTTGCCGTCACACACAGAAGACTAGAAGTTTGATTCCCATGTGGGAAGCCTGCTAGAACATTGTACCCTTCTCAGTCTTGGTAGGCCCTGGCAAGCGGGCTGGTTGAAGCTCACCTCCTAAATGATCTTAATTGTCTCAATGAGGATGAAATATCTTGTACATGTAAAAGAAAACTAGCCAGTTTTTTCTTCTTTTAGAGAATAATAGATCATTACAACTATAAAATCAAACATATTCTCAAATTTGATTTTTGGTGTCATGCCTAACTTCTACCAAAGGAGTAATAATTCTTCTGTATCTATTGCGTATGGGCTCATGTACATATTTGTATACGCATATTATATTTACATGTTCATACATGTGTGCACTGGATTCTGGTGTGTAATGGCTATGTTCTCTCCTGATACATGCTAAAAAAATGAGTTTTATTCCTGATCGGGGAAGTCTATTTTAATGATTTTCTCGATATTTCGATTGGGATGCTATATATAAGCCTCATTCACTCATCCTGGGCTAGCCCTGACATGGAGAGTTGAAGCAGGCTACCCCTTAAATTATCTCGATTCTATCAATGGTGAAGGAGAAAGGAAAGCATTAACAGATAATCAGTATTAGCTATTATTTTATGAATACTACAAGGGAAGAATAAACAAACTAACAGTCACATTTAAAGATAATTTTTTATTATACCCCATTGTGTTTTGTAAGAAATGAATGGACAGAAAAATTTTAGATATTTTTTAAAGTTGTGAAGTTCCAAATTTTAAAACTTAGATTTCTGAAAATCCTAGCTTTCTTATGTAACCATAATCTTTAATCACCGTTAATGTTTCCATATTTCTCTTCTGCAGGTCTATGCTTCACAGATTGAGCAAAGTGATTTTCTGGTTGAGAATATTTCTGGATCACTTTCCCCACAGTATCAAAGAATCTCATCTGATCGTGGTTTTATTCTGAGATTTATTTCTGATGCAACTATTAATCGGGGCCGCTGGGCGGCTATTGTATCATATGGTAAGTTTCTTTGACTTGTGAAAAAAGAAAGAGCTATGACATTGCACAATCCTTTTATGTCAAAATAATTTTAGCCCCTTCGTGACACAGGGTCAGTTTGTGCGGCACCGGGCACAGTTTTGGATCTTCAGGGACACAGGGTAACGCTAGACTTTTACAGTCAGTTTCCTATATTTAGACCCAGTTTTCAAATATTATTAACTATATCTATAAGGAAAAGATTTCTTTGTACGTAAAAATATTCCCGAATGGGAAACTGCAATTAATTTTATGAAATCCTCCTGATGGAAGCATTTTGCAGAATACTGCCATTCATCTTCATTGTCCTCGCACGTTGCAAGGCATGATGAACACTGCAAATCACAGCAACATCTTGGCCTGATTGCTGTGTAATAAAAAATGACGAACAGCGTACGCCATATATAGACCATGAAGGGATTAATTAGGAGAAAATAGTCCAAATGGTGAAAGTTGATTTAAAATCTTATCAAATAAATGGGTAATTTCTCACTCCTGTAAGGCACAGTAATGCTGCAGTGAACTCTTTCTTGAAAGGAGCATAGAGGTTTCTGATGAATGGGCTCAGAGGAGACTAAAGAAAATGCAGCAGAAAAAAAAATGCAAGCTTGAAAAGGAAAAATTCAAGCATGCTGAATCAATGTCCCTACATTGTTGGTTTCATATTGGAAAATTTTTCAGAACTCTTGCTGGGTATTGAAGTCCAGAGCATGCAGTTAGGTTGATATGTCCAGCTAGGCTGTGGTGCAGAGTGATTTTGGTTTGAGAAATCAACACTGTCATGCTAAGGGGTTTCCTTTTAACTTTAAGGTTTTTTAAAAAGTGTCTTTCATATTAAAAAGTATCTATCATACAAATGGTCTTAGTTCTGTCCCCATCGTTTTATGCAAGAAAAATTATGAAATTATGCAAACTGAGCTAAAAAATGTGAAATTATGCGATTCTGTTAATTTTAACAAAGAATGATAAAGGAAAATAATCAGAAATTATGCACAAAAAAATCAAATTTTGCTAAATTATGCGGGGTGCCTAAAACCACGGGGACAGTTAGTTATACTGGAAATTCTATGTTTAATTTAGAGGTACAGACTTGTATAAAAAAAAAAAAAACTTGGTTGAAAGGGTTGTTAAACTCCTACCTTTTGATACTAGGTAAGTGAATTATTTGCACCTTTTGACTCATAGAATGAAATGCCTACTCTTCTTGCTCCCAACTGGCTTGTCATCTCAATGATTTTGTAAGGGCAAAATATACTATTTGCATGCCGTTCTGATTTTCATTTAATATGAGAAAAAAGGTTAATGGTAGTTACATAAGTTTTTATTGTTGTAAGAATGCAACTATTATATTTTATGTACCTGCACCTTATATGAAGGACAACAGTACCTTTAAGGCAAGATTTGTGGAGAAAAAGCTAAACTGGTTGTCTTTCTGTGGTGTACGCAGAGTGTGATCTCCTGTCAGTATTACCGCCCCTGCGGCTCAACAGCACAGACACCAGGTTTGGCGCTGTGGTGGGGTACAGCTGTGAGGACGGCTTCTTCCGCAGTGGACCCGAGTCTGCTGTGTGTGGGATAATGGGAGAGTGGTATCCTGCCGCCAAGCCTGTCTGCAAAGGTAATGCAATAGGGATACTCATCGATTTATAAAGTCATGGAGATGTGGTATTTGTGTTCCCCCAAGTTGTCTGACCTCTTTTCTATCGTCTTATTTAGATGGACTACAACTTTTTGATTTTCACAAGTTTTTTTTAGTGACAAATCTGTGTGTAAAATTCTTTCTTGTCTCTTTTTATAAGCATTTGACTTCTGATCTACATATATGAGATTGTCTTTGATTATCACCGCATTACATCCTTTCGTTCCATACTCCTTCCTTTTTACTTTCACCACGAGACCAAGTACTTTGTATGTGAGATTATGTAATTATGTCTTATGGAATGGAATTAAATATAAGAAAAAGAGCTTTATTCCATTTATGCCTCTTAGTTTCTACACAAAATTCAGAGGGGTTTCTCTTCTTTTCTTTTGAATAGTGATGCAATAGCTAGGTACATTTGATTGAGTGCATTTTCTGTAAACTGTATAAAACGATTGTTCTGTAATTTACCATTGCACCGTGAGGACTGAATACATTTAAATATTAACTGTGTGGATGACTTTACTAGGAGTAGCTGAAAGTCAACACTTTCTAAAAAGAATTATGAACTATTTCTTTTTGTTCAAAATATTAAAGTATTTGTAAGTTTTTGTGCTGCGGTTCATATTCTTTATCTCTGTACTTTCAGAGATAAGTTGTGGACCACCTGAAATTCCACACAATAGCTATTTGATTGACATGAGTGGAGTCAAGTACAGAGACGTAGCTGAGTTTGCCTGCTACTATGGCTTTCAAATAAACAGCTATAATGTTGCTACTTGTGGTCAGCATGGTTGGGAAAATATTCCTTCTTGTGAAGGTAAGTTATTTGACTGTTTTATGACTGTTTTGGAAGACATCTTCTCTGTGTTTCTTACCTTTAATACCAGGTAACCCCCCCACTCCTTCAATTGCAAATCTGAGTTCTATTTTTTCATCAAAGTAAAACAAATGAACAAGCTTTAATTCTTTGTATCGGAAGGGGGTAAACCCACTATACTGGGGCCCTTTTTTGGTACTAATTCTCAAAAGGACAAAAACGTCATTTAATGGGTCATTACACGGAAACAAGCGAATCTATTTTGATTGTTCTCTTACAGTAAAAGAGATCTGTTTTCGGCAATTGTCAAAAAGTACTTTGATGTCAAAGTTGTCGTAAAGGATTGTGCCTGAGCCACTGCCTGCGGCTCACAGAGGTTCCGACAGCTAGCCGCTAGGAGTGGCTTGCTGGAGATAAGGAATTAAGATGATACCAATATCTCCAAATGCCGCAAAACTTAAAAGAACCTTATTCCACCGTGTTGTGACACATATGTTCTTTTCTTCACTTATTTTGTTAAGTTCTTAACTCCAACAATGTCATTTACGACAATGTAGCTGTATCAATGATTGATGCAAGAACTATAACATTTAGTTTAATTGTATTGTGAACATGACTTCAGTCTTATTGCCTAATTGTTTGAAAAGTTCGAGGTTTTCAATCTTTTTGAAATACATGTTTCCAATTTTTTTTGTTAAATCACCATCCTTACATTGACTTTGGATGAATGAAGAATGAAGCAAAGTGGTTTGGAGTTGGAGACTGAAATACTGAGGCCATTGAGAGCTGGAATGTAACTACACATTGGAGAGCTGTTTGCAGGGTCGGGATTATAGCTGTTGGCTTAGGCTTCTAATTTTGTTGGCATCAATTTTAAGTTTAATTTTCATACAACTGAGAGCTGGTTGTTTCATACTGCTTTAATTATTTCTTTTATTGGTCATAGTATCTGGTTGGGGTTTCAGTTTTGTAATACAGTTTTTATTTTCATCCAAAATATCACAATGTAGTAGTTATGTTGTGTTATGAACCTAGCTTCTTTTGAAAAAAGTATTAAGTGTCTGTTGAAGTGTGATAGTTATGCTTGTTGGTTTGCATGCAAAAGATTTGAGTTCTATTTCTGTTTTGGGATGATATTGCACAGATTAGAATGTCTCCATCTTAAAGCTGGGATATCCGCTCTAACATGGAGAGCCCTGACACTAATGTCAAAGCAGCCTACCTTCTTCCTTTATAAAAATGATAGTTTCGGTGAAAAAAAAATGACCCAAAAAAAATGATTGTAATCAATTAATTTTAATGTTGTGATGCTAACTTTTGCCATTTTTTCCCACCAGCCGTCCACTGTCTTAAAGAAGCACCACCATATGGTGGGAATGCGAGGGCTGAAGACATTGTCTTTGGAACTGTGAGAGAGTTCTTCTGTTTGTCTGGTCGCAAACTTGTTGGCTCAAAGTTGTCTCATTGCAATATCACTGGTGTCTGGACAGATGTAGTGCCAGTTTGTGAGGGTAAGCTCTTGTATATGGCACAGATTTTATCCAGCAATTAACACTTCCTTAGTGTGAAAGGCTAAGTTTTTGTTCCAATGGAACAAAGTGGAGATTGGTGACCCATTAAAAAAACACACGCCTACATGTCCACAGCTATGGTGAACTCTTTAAAAACCCAACAAAACATGCACAGCTAATAATTCTTTTAAAGTCATCCCTCTTGAACAATGAACGCTTTGACTCATTTACTAAATAACTCAGCATTTAAATCTATGGAATGTACTGCGTCATTGTTTAAGCAGGCCTGCAACTGACTTGTTTGAATGGCTGCATTTTCTTTTTCTTGTTTAGTTCCTCAGTGTCCTCTCGTTGAACATGTAGTACATGGGACGACCAATGTAAGTGCTCCTACTCTGGTTGGAGAAACTGTTACCATCATCTGTGACAAAGGCTACTATTCAAATGGAACTGAGCTTTTGACCTGCTTGGACAGTATGGAATACGACCATCCTCCCCCTGTGTGTATGGGTAAGCTAACAAGTTGTTTATCTCTTTTCGTCTATAGATCTTTATCACGCACACTCAGTTGGGGACTAGTTTGATCATCTCCCTTTTTATCTGTTTATGCCATATTTGTAAACTCATGGGTCGAAGAGATCCAACCCTGTAAATGGAAAGTCATGCTAAAAAATATTAATACATTTTACATCTCAGTACTTCTGTCGTATATATTTGGTTGTATAATTATGTGCCACTTTGAAAGCAAAATGATTAGGGCCTATCACTCATCATAACTATTATTTCAGACCACTTTCATTTTACAATACCCTTCAATATAAAAAAAAATGCAGTTCTTAGGAAAAACAAGATAAACTTCGGGATTCTTTCTGTTAAGTTTAATTACTCTGTGCTCTAATGTAGTAGAACGGTTTTCATTTATAAATTTTCTCTCTACAGACCTAGATGAATGTGCTGCTGACAGCGACCCATGTTCTCCACATACTTGCCAAAATGTTCCTGGAGGCTTTAACTGTTTCTGTGATAAAGGCCATCAAAATCCTGTAAATGATAGCTCTCTCTGTGTAGGTAAGGAAGTCATTTGTCTCCGTCAGTCTTTCTGTTTTGTACAAATAAGGTTTTCCGTAATTTTTTTTTTTTAAAGAACCTTTATGATTGCAGCCTGAAAGGTGGTGATGCCATATTGATGGAAAGTAGGCCATTAAAAGTAAATCTGATTCACTCTGGGAGAATGTGAAGAAGAAGAATAAAAGTAATGTTTCTTCATGATAAAAATTTCAAGCTATTTATTGTATAATTTAAGGAAATTATGGGTGCAGATCACTTGAATTGGAAAATGCTACTTCTGAAATTTGTGTATTTCAAAACTTAAATGAGAACCACCTAATAAGGATTAAGCATATTGTTAGTGCCTTTCGCTAATCGTACCCGTGAATGAAGCATTCAGATACTTTTGAAAAATGGGGAAAAAAAGGTTTAGTTTAATACACATTTTAGCCTCTTGATTTTTACAATTTATATGCAAGGTGTCATAAATTATCGATGCAAAATAAAACGTGAGAGCTGATTTTTAAGATTGTGCTTAGGTCAAATGCCTTAAGGCCAGAGTTTTCAGATTTTTTTCCATACACGGATAGAGAACTGCTGTGATGATATGTTTGTGATGTTCTCTATGCCAGCAACACTTTGTAGAAATAACATTTTAAAATATGTGCTCTTTCAGACATAAATGAATGTGAAACTGAAAATGGTGGCTGCAGTCACAACTGTATTAACAGCCCTGGTGGTCATTCCTGTGACTGCCCAGACGGTCTTGAACTGTATGGTGGACAGTACGATAAGATTGGAAACCTTACACTTGTACCTGAACGGACATGCATAAGTAAGTTGTCTTTTCTATATAGGCTAATGTGGATTTTTAAAAGATGATAAAAGTCAAGCTGATACCAATGTTTATAATTTACTATGCACTGTTATTCTTTTGATCATACCTCTTAGATGTTAAAAAAAAGTTTTGTACACTACACATGTAGTATCTTTTGATGTGTTTTAGTAGATAGCATGAAGTAATGATGCTGAGAGCAGAAGTGTGAAGTCTATTTAGGAATTTAAGAAAGTCTAAATTGAACATTCAGATTATGGAAGGATGTGAGGTATGATGTTGTGTTTCGTATGCTCAACTTTTGCAAAACCAGTGAAATACGCACATGTTTTGTTCTCAGCAAAATGTAAGAGGTTTATGGTGAGTGGAGGAGAAGTGATCTACCAGAACAAACCTTTCCCAGATGGAAGTTTTATATCAGGAATGACAGCTTTCATCAAGTGCCCTCCAGGTTCATTTCCTAATGGAAACACAGAGGTGACCTGTTTAAGTGGATTTGGATGGTCATCTGCAGTCACCAATTGTGTTGGTAAGAAATATTTATTTTGAATTGAACTGACCTTTTCTCAGAGACATAAAATGTGACTATGATTAATGTACATGTTTGAGGAAAAGTTTTCCAGCTTTAATATACTTCAAGCCCAATTAACTATTTTGAGATCATTCAGATTCTTGCAGCCTCAGATTGTTTTTATCAAATTAAATATGTTTCCATAGAATAATGACCTGCCATCTGAACCAGCTCCTCTAGAATAGCGTACTTATCCTTTTCTTTCTTAATTTTACTTGGTCTGTAGCATGAATAAGTGATCACGCATTTCTGAAAGGGCAGCACAATACTAAAGTGGGCAGAACCTTTTGTAAGTCATCCTGTTTTCCCACGGGAGTTGCAGAGATGAGACACTTTTATATTGGTCATGTAAAATATTGCTTATGATTATGCTGCCTATCATTTGCCCTTACTGACACCTTTTCGGCTTGCATCTTTAATTGTCTACTTTTTGTCAATAGTGTTGCAAGATATTTCTTTTATATTTCAGATGCTGTCTGTTCAGACCCTTTGCCTCCTGTGAATGGGGAAGTTACAGTGACTAACTTGTCACTGGGCAGTACTGTTGTCTACACTTGCAATAAAGGATACACTTTAGTTGGGAATTCCTGGAGGCTCTGCGTTCTTATTCATGGAAAGCCAACAGAAAAATACGCTTGTGGTTGGAGTGGAGAGGAGCCAGTATGCCAAGGCATGTCCTGTATAAAAAGGTTGCATGTTGTAGTAGTAATGTGTAGGCTACTGCAACAGTAGTAGACACTGTTCTGTTACAGAAGATGGAAAGTGTGTATGTGTGCTGTATTTGTCCCCACTTATGCCCTCTGATGATGGAGTATGTGGATGATTAGGTTAAAGCGTGTCAGATAATACCAGTAGTGAGTACAAGGAAATGCAAGGTTCTTGGTACTCTCCTGAATCATCTTGCATTTGTGTCGTGATGTGTGAAATCAATTGTCAATTGTTGGGCATATAGAGTTATTAAAGTTTATTTGTTTGTCGTGCTTTTGATGAAAATAATATCCATTCGTCTTGAGCTGAAGTTGAGATATATCTGCAGTTAGGGAGGTGGGGATTGCTTAGTGTCTGGTAAAATTAGTGAGAAAATGGCTTCCCAAAAATAGTCAACTTCCAAAGTTTGAGTGTCCTTGAAAACTGGGAATTTACATTTTTGTGTGTGCGTTTGATCACTGGTTGTCTGGAAAATCCATACAGAAATGTTTTTTAAAAGGACATAAAAGGTGTTGAGCTGGAAAAAAAAGCTTAATAAAAATTGCCCAATGTGCCAAAAAATGCTGCTTTCTTTGAATAGATTACTCTGACGAGTGCCTGATTTCATTATAATGCCTCACATTTATTCAGCCATCATTGCTACATCCTTCCCTGTCATCTTGAAACTGGTCTTGACTGCCCTCTTCCTATGGCTACAATTGTGTGGTGTGGGGAAACGTTCAAAGATGTCGTTTTTTTAAATTTTCAAGTCGGCACAATTTTATCCTTCATAGTGTTTTGTCTGAAAAGGATACTGCTGACAGTTTTTAGTGTTCATGTCTCTATTTGGTATGGTTTTGTGCTTGTCTTTCTTTAACACTTGAGTATTTTGCTCAGGATCTTCTGTGTCCCATCAACTGTAGTTGTAGGTATGTTGCAAGAGTGAGGAATGAGAAATGTTATAGTTCTATTAATAAATATTCATGTCTGTTCCACCTTTTGACTTATTGTGCAGCGTACTTTGCTAATTTCTTGCAGCATATACAAGTATTGACTCCAAATACATTAACACAGTGCAGAGTGTGTGAGCTATAATAGAATGATTTGATGAAACAACCTTTTCTACTTTCAGAAATTGCCTGCAAGGTTCCTGCTCACCCTGTAAATGGTGCTGCTTTTGTTGACTCCCTCTTGTATGGCTCAGTGGCTGTCTTCAAGTGCACTTGTGGCTATCGTCTGATTGGCTCTTCTTATGCTGTGTGTTCTGAAGATGGAAGATGGAGCGACCCTGTGCCATTTTGTGAATGTAAGTTAGCGCCTCTTCCCTCACACGGTTCTTCATTTCATTCAATGCCCCAAAAGCCAAATGTTAGAGAATGCTTGTATCAATCAGTTCAGTAGCACCAGTGGTTAATGCTGTATGACATAGTCGTTTGAGATGGAAGCTTTAGCTTGAAAGCAGAATTGATATTGTAATTGCTAAGAACGACACTGTTACCAATCATGTGAAGCTGTGCAATACTTTGGGGGGTCCTTTCTAATTTGTAAATTCTAACTAGGTCAGTCATTGTAGTTTAGTATTTGAGCACATATGTAGATCTGTCTGTATTGTTGTTAGCAATCATATACTGTTTTGAAACATGTGTAAATTTATGTGTCATAACACAGTGGAATCAGGCACTCATCACATTTTGGACTTATATAGAGGTATTGTTATGATCTCAAAATGACTTGTTCATTTGTCTTGCTTTTGATTTAAAAAATACTAATCTAACTTGAATAGAAGTCGAGATATTTGGGATTGAAGAAGGTGGGGGATTGAAGAAGGTGGGGGATCACCTGGTGTCAGTGATTAACAATAAAATGGCTGCTAAAGTTTGGTGACTTGCAAAGCTTGAGTGTCATTGGTAATTGCAAATTAACTTTTTTTATGCCTTTGATTAACGTTTTTGCAATAAAATCTTCACAGAAAAGTATTCTTAACAGTTTATCTCTTTATAGATTTTTCATTAAAAGTAAAACAAAAGAACAAGCTTTTTAACTCTTTGTATCTGAGGGGGGGGGTAAACCCACTACGCCAAGGCTTTTTTGGGGGGACTAAATCTAAAAATGACAAAAACGTCACTCAATAAGTAAATAAATCAAAACAAATGAACCTATTTTGATAGTTCTTCATCTAATGAATGAACTCCCGGTAAAAGAGACCTGTTTTTGGCAATTGCCAAAAAGAAATTTGATGTTGAAGTCATCGTAAAAGAATGTGCCGCCGCTGTCAGCAGTTCAACGCCACAGGGGTTCTGACTGCGAGCCACTGGAAGCGGCTTGCCGGAGATAAAGAGTTAAATAGACATGAAAAGATGTTGAGCCAAAACAACCACAAAAAAAAAGAAGTTAAAAATTGCCGAACTTGCACGAAAATATCCTTTTCTTCAGTTTAATTAATTTGATGAGAGCATGATTTCACCTCAATGCCACACATAGTGGGATGCTTTAGGTGATGCAAAGTCTTGATGAACATACCTGTATTTTGCAGCTGAGTCTTGCCTTCATCCTGATCTACCCAACTATGGAAGTCTTGCCAAGTTTGATGTAGGCTTTCCTGTTGGCAGTGATGTATATTTCCAATGTGATAAAACTGGATATAAGCCTCAAGGTAACTGTTGAGCTTTTTGTTTCAAATTATTTGTGCATCTGTCAGTGGCATGTTTTGTAAATTCTTTTCAATGGTGAGACAGTGTGTATTATGTGGTATTTATTTAATGAAACCTTGAAATTATTTTATCATTGAACAAATCATTGCAACTCAAATAACCCAACCAAGAATGATGTTTAAGCTGTTTTTTCTTTCCTGAGCATAATTTCTTCAAATTGAGGTTTCTTATATTTGAAATTTGTGGCACTGCAGCTGACCTGGACTGACCTTCTTTTCTTCACATTTGAAATGTCATGGTGTTTGTGGCATTGGGTGCAGGCTTTTGAGAGTTGCACATTTTATATATGGAGCTGTTTTGCTTAAGAATAAGCTCCTTAAAATTATGAACGCTCCGTTATCTCCGTATGGCTAAACTTCCTTACGTTAGAAGATATAATCTCAGGCACTGCCATAATTGCTTCCTTGATTCTATTGCATCTAACCAACTTTGGAAACTCTATTGTTAAAAGTGATTTAGAAAATTTCCCCTATTACATCATGTTGTTTTTCTGATGCGGTCTCAGTTCTCAGTAAATTCCTTCTTATAAAGTTTTTGTTAATTTGTATTGTTTTTTTTCCCCCTCAGATTACAAGCCTTTGAGGTGTTTGCCTTTCAAGAAGTACAGAATATCCGACCTCAGTGCTTTTTTCAAACTTGCTGTAAACCTGTCCCTTGTTTTGAGTAACAATCAGACATTGTCATCTAACTGCCTGAGACTCTACGAAATGAGTTTACAGCAAAGCTTTCAAAGCTGGATTCAAACACTTCTAACGTCATGCCCTGACATGCAAGTCAGCCTAAAGGGCAACGTTTTTTCTAATGTCAATAGCTCGCAGGTAAGAGTATTCAACATTTGTGGTCTGACATCAAATAAAAAGTTTTGAAAGAAAACATAAGTGAACTATCTTTTTCCAAGATTTTTTTAGTAGTGGCTTATTCAAAAGCATGCATATCAATCTATTCATGTCTTTTATATGGACTGAACATTTGATTAACATAATTCCACAAATTATAAAAAACCTTTCCTGCTCTTTGCAATGCACCACTCTGTTTCTGAGGGAGGCTGAATCGTGTTCCTCAAAAACAAATAGTCTTTTTGAACGTTTTTTTTAAGTGAGCCTGTACCATACCAAGTTTCATCCATACCAGCAACATGTCACAAATAATAGCACCATCTATCAATGTAATTACTGTTGTAGAAATATAGCATAGACCTTTACGTATTTTCAGTTCCTGATATTTATTGTTAATGTATTTATTCTACTAGAATGTACTATAGTCTAAGTCTTTTACTGCTGGCGTCCAGGATCTTATCATTTTTTTATCTGTTAATCTGTATGCCTGAAGAAAATTTCATGATCTTCATTCACATTCATTTTCTCCTGTTAGTCTGCTCTAAAGCTAAAAGTTTGTGAAAAATGTGATAAGGAAACTTATTTTTGACTGAACCCAGTGACTTCATTTAATTCATCAATGAATTTCAGATTCACCAGAGGTTTACTGTATCTTTGAGATCTTCTGAGAATTCTTCATCTTCGTGTTTATGCGGCCAAACAATAATGGATTTCCTGACAGCTGCCGAAGATGAGATAACAGTTAGAAATATAACTCTTCTCACAATGATGGGTTTTGATTGTCCTGCCCTGGAACCCGACTCACAGACAAACATGAGTGTGTGGGGAGACTGGAGCTGTGGGCCTGGACAGAGGCTGCTGAGCAAGGGAGGGGAAACGTGTGCTTCAACTCCATTTTGTGTAGAAGGTAAAGTTGATCCTTTGTTTCAGTTCTTTTACTTTGTTTATTGTTTAAAATGGTAGTTTATGTGTTTAGTTCTCACAATTCTTCTTTTTTGTAAAGGTGAATACAGAAAATGCACAGAACGAAAATAATATCTTATATTTTGCTTGGTTACTAACACATCTTTGGAAATCAATTGAAATGTCAAATTGTTCAGTATCTTTGTATCTTGTGATGTGACAGTTTATGGCTATCATGTCTCCCTCAGTAGGCAGTATATAGTGTTCGCTCAGATTTCCTAAACGCTAGCTGGGGGATTTCTGAAGGACTAGTGCATTGCTGAGGTACAGTTAATCATGCACTTTACGGTTCCAAGTAACACACTATTTGTGATTGAGATAATTTTGAATTGTATTCTAAACCCACCCACAAAAACAAAAACAAAAAACAACAAAAAAGCTTAAAAGTTGCTACCCTTCAAAATGACAATGATTTATTTGCTTATGTAAAAGCAGATGATTCATTGGTAAATATGTGTGTGCGGCTAGAGAAAGGTACCAAAAGTTACCCCAGACCGTTTCGAGCTATAGGCTGATAATGACAAAAATCACTTTTTTTTGGGTCCAAAATGTGTTTCCTTAAAAAAATGATAGATCCAACATTTTTCTACAATGTGCTCAAAGAGTTTTCATCGATTTGACTTCTAAATGTTTTATTTTGAATTATTTTGAGGGAAGGGTATAATAATAACAAATAATGAAAACTTCTTTTAAAAGGTGTTAACATCTATTGTTGAAGCACATTTTCTCTTCCCTGCTACTGCTATGTTTTACCATTGAATTCCATTCATGATATCGATGTCAACTGAATGCCAAAATGGAAATGAATTTTCCATGAATGAATACATTTAAAAAATCTTTTTTTTGTTTGTTTGTATGTGTTCTCACGTTTATTAAACTTAAAAGCTCATTTTCTCTAAATTATATTTTTATACCCTCTGAAAAACTGCGTGAGATTAAAAAAAAATTCTAAGACCCTGTGTTCAACATTGAATTTCCTATAAGGTACAACCCTTAACTCAAAATGGTCAAAATCCGACTTTTGGTACCTTTCTTTTGGCACACTCACATATGATCTGTTTTGATTGCACAGAGGAAAATATTCAATTTTTAGAAATTTATAGTTATTTCTCTTAGGAAATGGGTTACCCGTACTGTTCCTAGTTGTTAATTTAGTCCTGTTTACTAATTTTTTAACGTGCTTTCAGATTGTATTGATGATGGTATAGACACCCTTGAGCTTGATGAATTTGTGTCCAAACCAAGTTCCTATATGGATGTATCAGATGAGCACAGTACGAACCCCACCTTGACTTCGCTGTCTGTAGACAAACCTGTGAGCACCACTTTAGCGACAACAATGATGACAGAAGAACTTTTAACAACTTTTAGCAGTGCGTTAAATCCTGAAAGAGAAGATATCACGTCTGTGACAACTACGTCTAGTGCAACATCAAACGTACCGACTTTTGGTGGCTCAGATGTATTGCCAACGTCTCGTCTACCGGTTACGGTCTCGACAAGTAGACCCATTTTAGGGGTCAGTGTAAGACCTTCTTGGCCCAGCAGTACCACAACAAAACCCCCTCTGTTTACTCCGAACCATCTCACGTTCTTCCATTCAAGCACTCTTGATACGTGGGCGGAACCAAATGAAACCTCTCCGCCCACCACTTCTAGCCCTGATCCAACTGCCTCTTCAGCTACAACCTCAACCGTGGAAACTTCTGACACAAAAAGTTTAGGAACTGGAAGCTTCCGAGACGAAGAGATGCATAAGGTGACTGATACCCATTTTGATGTGGATATACATGAAAAAGATCAAGCCTTTCAAGTAAGCGGCGTGAATTGTACGGGGGAACAGATGCAGTCAGGTCTGAACAGTGGGTCTGGTGGAGATGCCAAAGATATCGTGAATGTGACCAACTGCTTGACCACCCATACTCTGGAGAAACAAGAGACCACAGTGTTTCAAGGTCCTTCTGTGGCAGCAATGGACAGTGAGTATTATCTTTTTCAGAATGAAAATATTTCTGTTTCCCACTAGGTTTCCAAGACTCTGGTTCTGAATAACAGATTTGGTTTCTCTAGGTTGTCTCATTATTTTGTATGCTGTTTTTTTTAAATATCAAGTGGAAGGCCTTAAACCATAGATTTTTATGACTATTAATTCTTCTGCTCTCCCAGGTGATGATTTGAAAAAAAGTTTTGAGATTCCCAGCTAAGTTGAATGAGATATTGTACCCTTAAGCCTTGAGAAGTCTACTTAACCCTATTTTTTCCTCAGTGACTAATCTTGGTGGTGTCATGGTTTAGTGTTTAGGCTCTCAGGCTCTCAGCTGTAAGGTCTTTGTTTCGAATCCCATGAGGGGCCTGACGTTGTGTCCTTAGGAAAGGCACTTTACACATTTACACAAATTTTCCTCACTTCACCCTGGTCCTTTCCTTTCCTACAGTCAGTTAGTGTTTTAGAACGTGTAATCTGCAGCTTGTACTGTGTGCCCCTTGGAAGCTGAAAATGTTTCTGAGTGTCTTAGGGTCTGCTTGGGTAATGATAGTTGTAAAGCACATAGAACCCTATGTAAAGCGTGGATTTGTACTATATAAATACAGTTTTTATTATACGTTATTTTCTCCACAGTGACATCTCCAGTGTATTCCGTTGAAGTGAGAGACCGAATGGCAGGCAGCTTCTCCAATGTGACATGCATAGATGCTGTACACATTAACATCAATGCCAAAGTTAATGAATTGCTTCGAGAATTTGGCAGTCAAATGGGGAAACTGGTGTGCAAGAGTGCTCCGGATTCAACCCTTGAACTCACAGCAGGAAACATTAGGTTCAAGAGTAACAGGGTAACGTTTTGAATAATAAATTTTACTACTTTAATGCTATTCTTGTTATAAAAATATAATTTTAAAATCAAAGCTCTCGGCCAAGGAGTTAAAATACATAAGAAGCTAAACTGAAGGGAAAAATGCATAAACAACATACCAAAGTATGTATTGGACATGTGTGATTCAGTGTGATGTTTATCCTTTGGAGGCTCTTGCAGATTGTTATTATTTCTATTTTGTCTTTGATCTGTAAAAATATTCTCCCTGCCTCCCCCCCCCCAAAAAAAAAATTAATTAAAAATTAAAAATCTGTTTTTATCTAATGTCTATTATTAGTTTGAAAGCGACAGAAATGGGTTGAAACAGCTTTCCAATATTATGATGTAATAAGTCAAATAAAAACAACGAGTCAGAGAGTTTTTAAGTTGTTTTTTTTTCAGAAAGAACATGCTTTTCCTAGATTTCCTTTTGGTTTGTAAAAGACAGTGAATAAATATGTGTGTACAAAATAAAAACATACTTTTGTTAGTAGGAATTACCTTTCATCGTATCTTTCTTCCACCACTATTAAAAAAATAATATCATTGTCCTCAGGCTAGACTGTTCATCAAGTTCTCCATCACTCACTCATGGTCAAACAGGTCATCAGTCGAGGCGTGTGGAAATCAGTTCAGAATCTATGTAGCGTCGCAACTAACTAAAAAATTTCAAAAAGTTGAGAGAGAAGTTTTGCCATCAGAATGCAAGTTTGTGAAATACTCTGTGCACACGTTTCAGTTGTCCTACAATGGCTGGACTTGTCACCAAGGCTACTCTTTTGACCACTCTTCATTTTTGTAAGTATCTGGCTTTATGTCTTTTTTGTATCATTTTGTCCAATCTGAACTTATGTTGATTTTAGTTGCTTTTTTAAAACTCATTAAACATGGGCAACTGCTCTCAATGGCTGATGTGATGCTCACAGTTCTTAAGAGTTTTTACCTAAATAGCTATGAATGTGAATAAAACTTTGTTTGAAGCTTCCCTTAGGGAAGACCTGCTCCTTTATCTTTATGTTTGTGTTCATTCTTTGTCCAAGAAGATGTTGTGAAAGAAGTAGCGTTAAGGTATAAAAAAAAGCAACTCTTTCCCTCTGTGGAAGTCAATTCCAGGGTCAATGAGTTAAATGTCAAAGCATTCAGTTTTTGTTTCTCGTTCAAGATTGAAATTAAAGTAATTATTTATAGTCCAATTATTCAGGGCTGGTCTAATATATATATAGCAATAAGGCCTTTGACTGACCACTTCAATCAAATTTACCTTTTCAGTCCATTAAGGGACATACAGCTCTTCAGTATGTTAGAAACATTCTGCTTACATTCTTATACTCTCTGTGTCTTGGTCAGGCAGATTTTTGGGCAAATTTCAACAAGCAAGAAGAAACAACGTTGACTTCTCTGCTACTGTTAGTTTAGAAAATTCTTTCATTATTAATACTGTCTTGACAAGTTGCTGGGTTGCATTTTGAGCTTGATATCTTATGAAAGTGTCAAGGGAGGGATGGTGGGAGGTGGGGGGGGGGGATAAAGTTAAAGCAAAACAATATTTCTATTCTTTTTCTAAGCTTGTTTTGGCGGTAAGGTTGACAATGAAATTGCAGCATCAGTATGATTTTGAGTCGTAATTCTCATCAGAGGAAGCATTCATCCATGTTAAAGTGGATTAAATCTACAATTAGGTGACCTTCTTTTCGATGTCAGTTCGTTAACCTTTCCTTCCCCATTGTATATTTTACTCACAATTTCTCGTTCCCTTAGGCCAAGTCAGGTACATTTCCCTTACAGGCACCATCAAACCTAGTTGCACACTTTTACCGTAATTTATCCAATTGTTTCTGAAAAATATTTTAAATGTTACAGTGTATCTTCTAAAACTTTAAATGAAAGCAGAATAGAAATTATTTTAATGTCGGTGGAAAATTGCTTTTAGACTTTGTACTTAATGGATTTATTCCTGTTTTCTCTGGCAGTTTTTGAACTTGTCTTGTGGTTTTTTTTTAGTTTCCAATTTTTCTCTTGCTTGGCTCATGTGCATCAAGATGCTCTGTTCCCTAAATAGGTTTATTATCTTGAAAAGGGTTGAAATCGATTCCTTACTTTACCATCCTTCCAGGTGTGCTCAGTTGACAAACAAGGAAGATAGTTTCCCCAGCTTGATCACAATGTCTTCATCCGCTATCTCCTACACGCCTTCCCTTGTGACACCCAGATTGGTCTTGCACTTTGCTGGAGCCTTCAGTCCTGTACGGAGTAGAGTGGAGGTGAACAGTTCCTGTATTAGGGAGTACAAGAACGGCCTAACAGCTGCTCTGTCAAGGCTCGAGCCCCATGTGCAGTCCAGATTTAATCATTGTCCCAATGTCTACATCGATATTACGAAAAACATTTCTGTGATTGTGAGCCGGAAAAGGGTGAGTTTTTATATACTTCTTTTTGCAGATCAGCTCCACAACAGACAAAACATGTCTGTAGTTGCTCATGTATACTCTACTCAGATGTAATTGTCTATCCGTTGAAGAAAAGGTACACAATAATATCTGCTTTTAAATGGGAAAAAGATAAACACTGGTTTTGATATTTAAGAAAAAAACCCTAAAGTTTAATGTCATTGTTTGAACAAAAGTTTTGAGTTTACATTGAACTTTCATTTTTCTTTTTTGTCCTGGAAAGTTAGTAGCTCACATCTTATTACATTTTTTATTTTCAATCATGTTGTTGTGCTTTCAACAGGTAATCGCATATGCAGATGTATTGCTGGTTCCCATGAATGACACACTGGATCAAGACACCATGAACAAGTGTGCAAGATTTGTGTCACTCCAATTTCGAGAGCCATCGCAACACCTGTCCACAGTCACTCTGAAGAAAGAGTTTCTACAGCGTTGTCCAGAGGTACAACTCAGTGCACCTCTTCGGATGGATACTCTCAGCTTAGGTCCCCATTGTGTGCAGGGCTTTGTCTATGATGAATCCAATTTTAAATGCATGGATGGTAAGCACCCATTCTTCCTCCTCGTTTCTCTTCCCTTCTACGTGTTCAATCTGACTGCTTTTAGAAATGCAAAGTTGGCCAAAGCCTGCCTCATGCCCATAACCATATCTTACTTTATTTGAGAGCATAAAGAGGGAGGTCTTTCCTTTCTGAAAGTGAATATGTGCTCACACATAAATATCTAGGAATTGAGCTGCCTGTCATCTCCTCTTATGTCCCTCTTTGTGGCCACTGACAACAGCTGTGCTTTTCATAGTTTACAAATAATCACTATCCATCATAAACATGGAAACCAATTTTGTAAATTTCATTTCACAGAAACCTTGCCTATCTATGCAACCAGTGTGGAGTTCACCTTGAGTGGGACTGTTGAAGGCATAGCCTGTGAGACTGTTGTACAGAATTCCGTCAAGCAGATGGTCGAGAGTGTGATTCGTCCATTGCAAGATGGTGTCAGACGAGCCCAGGTGTGCAGCTCTTCCAAGAACTTGATTCTGCTTTCCGGTCAAGGATCCTTATCATTTCGGCCTTTTGGGGTATGTACTCAGGGAAAAAGAATGATCAGAAAGTGTATTTTGTCTCTCTAAGATTCTCTTCTAATGGATTAGATTTCACCCCCAATTTGTACCTGCTCTTATATCTCTACAGTATATTGTCTATTCTATACATATGTTAAAAAAAATAGACTATTGGTGTTCCTCCATCATGTAGATACAGTATTTATATCATCGGTGTCTGAATCTCACTGTGAATCCACCAAATAAGGTTCGACACTCTCCTTTAAATGCAAGTAAAAGTGTTACCTTTTTGAAAAATGACTTTTGCTAATAACTAGTAATTTTTCATATTTCACTTATGATGCTTGAACTGATATGCCAATATATCCTTCTCCTTTTTTTATTTACATTGCAAATGTAGTCATGAACACATGCACAAACACACACACACTCACATAAACATGCACACACTCTCACAGTCACTCAAACACACCCACATATGCACACACACACACACATATACACACTTACACACAAACAAACACCCACACATACACACACACATACACGCACACACACGCAAACACACACACATATACACATGCACACCACACGTACACTCTCTCTCTCACTCACACGCACCCTCAAACACACACACACACACACACACACACACACACACACAAACACCCATTCACACCCACATACACACACACACACAAACACACACACACACACACACACATACACGTACACACACACTCTCTCTCTCTCACTCGCACACAAACACACACACACACACACACACAAACACCAATTCACACCCACATACACACACACACAAACACACACAAACACACACACACACAAACACACACATACACACACACATACACACTCACACACACTCATGAATGCAGACACATGAAAAGAAAAGAAACTCTATCCTAAATATTTTTTGTCTTCTTCAGGTAACCGTCTTTGTACCCATCAATGTTCTAAGCTTAGCTGGCATCCAGTCTGATGTGATCAGCTGTTCAAATGAACTTCATCGCAGTTTGAAGGACTACCTTGTCTCACCAACTCGCGCACTTCAGCGGTCTGTGCTAGAGAAATGTAACACAAATTTGGAGGTGCCTATGGATCACACGGTTGCCTTCACACAATGGAGATGTCTGGGTCAATCTATGTACAACCCTTTCACTCACAGGTGTCAGAGTCAGACCACTCAAGTTCAAGATGTCCGCACAAAAGGTTGGCTTGGTGGACCCATTGGATGGTGTTCAGTTTTATACTCTTTGACAAATCCCTGTCAAACTCTTTTACCATCTTCTATTTTTTTTCTCCTTCTGTCACTCACTTGATCTTGTGTCACCCACCCTCCAACCTCATAGGCTCATGAGTGTGTGCAAGAACATAAGAGGAAATAATGCTGTAGTAAGTTTTGTGTTTGTGTATGTCTGCTTTCCTGTGTGTGTCTGTTTGCATATTTGTGTAGTGCAAATTCATGTGTCTGTGTCAAAGAATGTATATGTGTACCAGTTCTTCCAAACCAAGTTTTTATTTTTATTTTAAAGTCTTATGAGACAATAAATCAGTGTGTGATGATATAATGGCTAGACTTGAAATGTAATTTTTTTTTAAAATTGTTCATTCATATTAATTTGTAATTGTTCAAACTTTTGACTTGTTAGTAAGTTCATTAATTTTCCTTCCCATGTAGGGCTAAGCATTTCACACCGCCACCGTCGCCATGCAAGTTCTATACATCTGAGACCACAGTGGAATGGCACAACACCTGAGTGCAGAGGTTTGTTTTTGAGATGTTCCTAGTCTGATGGTTAAGGCATGAGACTGATATTTGTAGGATTGTTGATTCACAGAAGCAGCTATTGTATCCTATTGTAAATCAGCAGATACAAAAATATGTGTCGGAAAGAGTTTGAGAGTCAAACAGGCTGACGCACTGTGTCTTTCCTTGTAAAATGAAATGATAAAATGAAATAAACAAGTTATCTTGGATAGATACTGTGAACTCCTAAAGATATAAAACCACAAGGGATTTTAAATTAAAGACTGTCTCTGGAACTTGCTCTTTTAGATGGAAGAAAGGCGAGTAAAATTGAGGATTATTTTAATTAGTTCCCATATATTAAGGAACAGGTTTTCTTTTCAAAGGAAACTAGTGGTTCCTAGAAATCTCATCACAATAACTTTAAGCAGGTTGGGAAGGGGATGGGTTGGGATGGGGGTGAGATTAGGTTTTAACTATGACTGCGTGTTTGCACTTTCAAGAACATGAAAATAGCATTAACCCCCCCAAAAAAAAACCAACAAAAAACCCCCAAAACTTTTGGATCTTTTCACTCCTGGCTGTAGCTGAAGCATCGGGACAAAATAGTCATGAACTAAAGATCCTTGATAAAGCGAATGAGTCTGGGAAAAATGTTTTGGTATCTTTTCCTGCTTGTTTAAGATCGTGTCTTTCTTTACTCATGTGTCATTTGTTCTTTTTTGTCTTCCAGACGTGGAACCTCCTTCCTTCATAGACTGCCTGGACATTCCAGTCAAAATTGTCCTTGGGAACCCTTTTCCAGTTCCTGAATACATTCAGTTGCCTATTGCCTTTGATAACTCTGGACTAGAGCCTTCTATCACTTTTGAACCAGCAGGATTTAAAGTACCATATAAGTTTCATAAGGTGGGTTCCTTAAAAAAATTTTTTTTTTTAAATTGTTTGAACTCCAATTGCTTAACAGCATAGCAAGTTCTGTACTTTTGAGTATCTTATGATTTTGCTATAACAGTACTGCCTTTGCTTTACTTTTACTCACTCCATTACTTTAACTTTATTACAGCATTCTGATTGGTTGTGAGTCAAGTTTAGGACAGTAAGATCAGTGTTGGGGTATTGATGTACACAGGTGAGGCGGACTGGTAACATGATTTATCGGACATATGGAAACGAAAGGAACTTCTTTGTTCCTGTTTTTAAAAAGATATGACAGGATCATTGCTTGTCTCAACTTTTGTCTTGAAAACCAAAATTTTATGTCTGCCTTTTCCAATGATCTCCTGAGTATAAATTGATCTCTAAAGCATAAGGCATATAGAATGTTTTACATTTACAATTGTATATTTTGTTTTGTCTGACCTTCCACTTGCTTTTTCCTTATTTTTGAAGTTACTACTTTTGCCTACAGAGTATGGATGTTGTCGTGATAGCTACTGATGCAACTGGAAATTATGCTCGATGTAACATTCAAGTTCTCGTAGTGGGTAAGTTTTGTGTTCACTCACTTTATTTTCTTGCCTTTTATCTGTATGTCGCAAAACTGACCATGTCAATACATGTGTATATATATTTGTGTATCTATTAGAGAGGGGCGGGAAGCACTTTTTTCTTCTCAAACGAGAAGACCGAAAAGCTGACCTACTTCTCGCCGGGACCGGTACCGGTCCCGAGAAGTGCTTCTTGTCTCACGACCAATTTCTCATTTCGCGCTGTCCACGGGCAGCTCGCTCAGTGAGAAGGCCGGCCGTGGCTGGGATCCAAACTAGGCTAACCCTGTTGCGCAGGCGTAGGTAGTGAAGGAAGGTCCGGAGACCTAGGCCTGGGCCCTGATCAACTCCACACTCGCCTTGTCTCGCCTCCCTCTCCCCTCCCTTTCAGTTTCAGACACAGGACGGCTCGTGATGGGTGACTGTCTGCATTTCATTTCTCGCTGGCTGTGCCGCTCTTTCCGTCGACACCTCTCACTCTCTCACTCTTGTTACTCATTATGTAAAGCCAATGAGCGGTATCACTTCTCGGTACTGGGCAGTAGTTTAGTGCCCGAGAAGTGACCGGAAGGGCATTTCTTGCGAGAAACGGGTACTCTTCTCGACTCGTGCCTGCTCCTAGTATCTATACAGTCGAAATTGTCCAAGATGGCCTCCTATTATCTATGAGAAAAGTGTTTGTCTTAGACAGGTGGATGTCTTGGACAGTGTTATTATAATGTAGAAAAAAACATTGGGTGATGGGGATGGTGTTATGTGGCCATTTGTACAGGCGATTGTTCTGGACAGGTGGCTATTAGAGCAGGCTAGACTTTATATATTATATATGTATACATACACACAGGTGTGTGTGTGTGTGTGTGTGTGTGTGTGTGTGTGTGTGTGTGTGTGTGTGTGTATTATATGTGTCTTTGTGTGTGTATATGTGTGTATGTTTCTGTGTCCCTTTAAATATATACATATTTGACCTTACCCCTTGCGTGTTGTATTTTTGTTTTGATTTTTTTGCTTTATCTCCTCAGACAAGGTACCCCCAAGTATAACTTGTCCCCTTGATCTGGTGCTCCTGCATGAGGAAAAGGCCACGGAGGGGTCAAAGTACACCTACATCAGCTACGATGGAGCTGGGGTCACAGCGCATGATAACAGCGGCAAGGTGTCAATACATTATGACCCCCCTCGTGGGTCCACTGTGGTAGCAGCTGCAATTATGAATGTGACAGCGACAGCCAATGACTGGAGTGGCAACACTGCCAAGTGTTCTTTCTTTGCAAAGATTCAACGTAAGTATTAGAAATTATAATTCTATTCTGTGAGTCTTTAACTCCTTATCTCTAATAAGCCGGTATGAACCGCTGTACCAGTAATCTGTTGACAACAGTTCAGTCACTTTCTTTTACGACAATGACAACATTGTGTTAATTATCGGCGATTGCTGAAAACTGGTCTCTCTTACTGGGAGTTCTTTCATAAGATGAACTATAAAATCTTTTGATTTAATGAGAAATTTAGGGATGTGTATGTCACTTTCAGGTTTTGTATCAAAAGAGGGCTCTGCCATAGAGGGAAAACCCCCTCTGGAGATAAAGAGTTAAGAAAATAACCCAGCAACTGACTTGAGAAAAGTATTCCAAGCTTGCCTTTTTGTTTTATTACTGCTAAGGGCAAAATTAAATTTGCCCTACCCTTTATTGCAAAATTGTTCACTCTTCTTTCTGCAAAATGGTCATGACAGTCATGCCATTCTCAATACATGATTTGTTAACTTGTTTTATATCTCTGGACGTTTCTCCCCACAGCCACACAGTGCCACAGCTGGAGCCTACCGGACCCTGAAGGAGGACGTAAGACATGCACAGTGGCCAGCACAAACCAGGGGAGCTTGGCCTGTGCTGTGTCCTGTGACAAGAACAAGGACTTTGCAGTCCAGCCCCCGGAGCAGTATGTCTGTAGGACAAGCTCCGTGTGGCAGCCTCATGACCGCGTCCCTAAGTGTGTAGGTAAGAACGGAGCTGCTAGACTTTTTGCATTCAGACAGCAGATTTTTTAAAAAGTAGGCACTTTACAGCCAGCTTGATATGAAGTGTCAGACAATTTTGCAGGGATTAAAAAATGCAGACCAAATGATTAGAAATTAAGTTGATAACCACTTTTGAGGGGATTTTTGTTTATGGCCTGTACGTCTGAGGTATAATAATGTTATTTGAATGATTTCACCTCAATAGTTTTGTCCAAAATGACTTGTTGTTCATTCAAGATTCTCAAACCCTTGAATTTGGTGCCATTCTCTACTGAAAAGGATGTGTGCTGTAGTAATTAATAGGTATTTTTCTCTGCAGGAATTGAGTTTTCTTATAGATTGCAATAAGACCAATGTTTTCATTATCAGGAACTTACACGGTTGCACTTTGTGAACACTTTTTAAAGAGCTGCGAAAATGTTTTTTCTAGAAGTTAACATCAAAGTATAGGATCTTGATGAAAGTCCAAATAGAGTTGGGTGAAAACCATATAATTATTTACCCGCAGAATGTTGCCCCTTCTAATGTTTAAATTGTATACTTGAATATCATGCTCAAATGAACATATGTGTTATTAACCGTGGAGGTATATCTCGTCCTTTGTTCCTTTCTTCTTTTTCCTTCTTCTGTTCTCTTTATCTTTTGACCTTTAAAATAGTCATTTCTTTACCCAGTTTACGAACAAAAATTATAATCAAAGCAGAATTTTAAATTTTCAATGAAGAACCTCACTTTACTAAACCTATAGGCCTATTGTACACAGATACAGTGTTCCCTAACTTTGAGGTTGACCTTCTGTTCAACTTTACCTACGTTGGCATTGGTGCCAGCACCAAAACGTGTCGTAATTTGACGTTGGAACCGCTGCAAAACTACATAAGGCCCATCCACCCGAGCAATGTGTGTCAGACAGTGATGAGGAATGTGGATTCTGTCAAGATGAATATCACTTCCAACTACAAGGGTATGACTGAAATGGTATGGAATTTATTTTTCAAAACTAACTTTTTTTCAATGCTTATTGTCAGTTCCTGTATTGTTATGTTTAATTTTCAGCAAATCTGTGGGTGGTTGGTGAGTATTCTGGAGTGATTTTCTTCTTCTTTCCTTTCTAACATTTGTCACACTTATCTCCCCCTCTTCTTTTCTTTGTATGTTACTTAAAAGTAACACTTTCAAAGAGATGTTACATGATATATATGTGTCTCGATGTGATGGAACCAGGCGCTCGTTGATTTTTGGGCATATAGAGTTATTATAGAACCATTTTAAAGCTTGTTAATTTGTTTAAATTTTGGCGAAAAAAAATATCATCTATCTTGAATAGAAGTTGAAATATTTGCAATTGAAGGTATTTGGGTGTGCCTTGTGTCAGAAGTAAAATTAACAAGAAAATGGCCTCCAAAGTTTGGGTGCAATGCTTGAACCACGATAAGAGATATGTGCACAACCTGTACTCTTTCATTATGGAAACTTTATTTAACCCTATCCGTACATCGTGTTTTACTATCGTATCCATCTCGCCGTGGGGAACTGTGCCACCACGTTCCAGAGAGGATCTGATCCGTACGCTTTGCATAGCAGTCTGTCAAAATGATATTTTGAGAAATACTGAAAGTTTCAAAGAGATCTTTATACTAGAAGTATTCTAAAATGTGAAGAATACAACTTCTGGGGTACAGAATGACCCCAGAGCGTACGGATAGGGTTAACAAATGAGTGTTTTATATGATGTGATGTGGGCCAATTGCGTTGAACACTGAATAAACTTCTAAAGTAACACCTCTAAAATTTGACTCTTTCACAATGTATATATTTGTTAAATTGTTGCAAGTAGCTTAAAATTCTTACTAAAACTTTAAGTGAGCAAATCTACTTTAGTCTGTGGATTCGTGAGGAACTTAATGCCCAAGGCATACTTGAACGGTTGCTTCCAGCATCCATATTTTTACGCTTTTATTTGCAAATCAAGACTCTTATCAAAGGTTAGGGAGACTGTGGCCCAGAACAGAGTAGTGCCTTAGATCAACAAACTGAGGGTAAATGCAGTAAAAGTTTTAACATTTCATCTCTCTGTTACTCTTTACAGGTGGCTGTGAACATCAACATTAAGATCCTCATCCAAGTCTCCACTTATCAGCTGGAGGCTTCACCAGCCTCATGGTGTGGAATGCAAGTTCTTCAGGCTGCAGCCAATACCCTTCAGAACAAGACGACAGTTGTTGCGGAGTGCGGCACGCTGTATCTGTCCCCACCCTATAAACAAACTGGCAATGTGACCTGTGCCAGTGGGTTTGGCCTTGTGGACAATATGTGCTGTAAGCAATATATTCTTTTGTCCTTGCAAATTTTTGCATCAGTGTCAGTTACTTTGTTTTATGTTTTTGCATGGATTATGCATTTTTTGTTGTTGCTAAAAGTTTTGAAATAGCATTTCTGCTATCACTTTGAATTTCAGACATTGCTAAGTTTTCTTTAACAGTAGTCTCTGCCTAAACACACGGGTGCTCGGGAGGGCTCTTTAGCGTGTGTTTATACAGAGCATGCGTTTACACGAACCTTTGCAGTTCGGAGGAAGAGACGCAGTCATCTCATTGCCTTGATATTCTAGTGACCTACCTCTGGGGTTGGGGTCACTTTGGCCGATAGTGTGACGACCCGTGGCTGTTTTGTGAAGGATTCCCCGACTGCGTTTAAGAATACAAAGGCGCTGAATGGATGGGGTTGGGAGGGGGGGAGGGGGGGGGGGAAAGAAAAACAGACTCATTGTAATGATACGTGATATGCTCCCTAAAATGTCGGGAACAGATAGCCTAAGATTACCAAGAGGAAATTGTCGATGATAGTCATAGAGACGGATACCTTTCCTCCTTTTTGCTTTGGGTTTGAAATATAATGCGCAAGAATATTGTATAAAGACTAAATGAATAAATGTTACAGCCAAGCTGAACAAAATTAAAGTGAACTTCACATGCTTTAGGCATATGATTTGAAGCTATCAACATTGTCACTGTCACTAGGATATGAGTAACTCCAATTTTTTAATGAACTTTTCATCATTTTAACAAAAGTTTCAGGATTTAGTCTTATTTTTTTTTGGTCATTATCATTCCACAGTGGAGTGTCCTCGTGGCGCATACATTAAAGACTTGCTTTGTCATGAGTGTCCTGTTGGGACGTTTCAGCCTATCCCAGGACAGGACCGCTGTCATCCATGTCCTAGAGGTTTCTCAACTCCTTCCCCGGGGGCTGTACACAGTATGGCATGTCTTGGTGAGTTGGGGATTTGTTCTTTTAAAATCAGCTATGATAACAAGAATTGGCATAACAGGCTTGCTTTGAAAGATGAGTTGGATCTTTACTTTTGGAGTTTTGTTTTCCAGCATTTTTACATCAGTTGTATGTTTGTAAAGTGTTGGTAATAATAATAATATATGGTTATTCCTCTTGAAATCAAGATTCTTTCTCAGAGCAGTAAGTACGTTCTTGAAAAGTGCAATAAGGAAAAGAGTGAAGAGATGTTTCTACTGAAAGGAATCAATTTTGTTAATAGCACCTGCCCTAATCTATATTTTGAGCAGATAATTTTAAAAATATGTTTTAACTATCTCCTGTCAGAACACTTCTCGTCCTGAAAAATTATTGTCAGATATTGTGACATACCTTCAAACTCTACTGTGATGTAGGCCTATGTATTATACACAAAGCCATTCTTTTTGATAATTGTACTGAATGGATGCATATTGTACTGTAAGGCAAAGAAAAAAGCCTTTTCTTTTTGTAAAACAATGCCTTTAGGATAGCCATCTTGATGTAATAATATTTATTTTTGTCTTGCAGAAATATGTCGTGAGAATACTTACTCCGTGACTGGACTTGAGCCTTGTATCCCATGCCCCGTGGGCACATACCAGACGCTGGTGGGCTCAGTGCGGTGTGAACGTTGTGACACAAAAGTTGCGGGAGTCCCTCAGAGCTGTAAAGGTTTGTCTTGGATTTCAGATATTTTAACAGGTATCTCATTGTGTTAAAGAGATAACGAACAATTGTAATTCAACAAGGAATTTATGGAGACGGGCACGTATTTCTTATTACCATGAGTAATTGTTCGATAGACATTTATCAGAATATACGACTCCATTGTGATATGTACATGATCAGTACTTCAATTAATTTTTCAATTTAAAACGATTACTAACTTAGCAAAATGAATTATTTCACTCTCCCACTTGCTGTTACTTTAGTTCTAATACTTATCCGCTGTTGTATAGGCTAAAGGATCCTCAGATAAGTATATTCATTTTCTGATGCATTTTCATATTCTAGACATTAAAAAAAGACACAAGACATTGTTCTGCCCCCACAAGTGATAGCATTCATGCTGTTTGGCCTACTTATGCCTTGTAATAAAGACCTGGTGACTGATTTGGCCAATGCATTCAGAAAAAGCAGGTTGCAGTGTGCACAAGGAATGTTTTAATGATATACACTCTATTGGGTCATGTTATTTCTCATCAGGGCTTGTGGATTATTTTTTGCTATTGCAGGCAGTCAGTAGACTCTTCTGCAAGTTGAACCAGATATTTTGATATGAACTAGTGAAATACCCGATTTTTTGAAGATAGGAATCTGGTTCTTGAGCTTAGATTTTCATTTTGGGAAAAATGACAAATTAATTTTTTTAATTCTCAGAAATCTGCTCTCCTGGTTCATTCAGTCAAACTGGTGGCACCCCATGTACCTATTGTCCTGTAAACACTTATGCACCTGACAAGGGTATGACAACATGCTTGGAATGCCCTGACGACAAGATCACAGTGAAAATTGGGAGCAAAGATTTGAATGACTGCAAAGGTACGTTATTCATTTATTTTTCTTAAGAACTGTCCGTGTTTGTTTAGCCCAGGTTGGTAAGGTATAATTCCTGTTTTACATCTTGTTAGTAAATCTGTTCTAAAACTTTAGTCTTTAGGTTTATGACTACCATTTCTTGTTCAGTGTAATTCAGTCATGAGATACATGGTGTTAATACTGGCCCCACGAAAAATTGCATTTTTGAAATGGAAAAATTGCAAAAAATTGCAAGGTAAACTGCCTAAAAATTGCAAAAAAATTGCAACCTTCCCATCCCTGGCGCATTAATACGTGCTTAGTGTAAAATTTTTAGTTAAAAAAACTTGACAATTTGAGTACCAGTAGCATAAAAGCAGAACAGCCTTTTAAAAAATCATGACCCACCCTACAAATTTTATTAACAACATTTACTAGTAACAACACACGAGTACGTTAACAATAAAATTATCGACCAAACATAATATAATACTGCGAGACCCAAAATAACGGAACCCTCGGTTTTATTAATAACTTTTAAATGAAGACATAAAATTTGACCAAATTCAGTACATACTGGGTACTTGGTTCATGCAAAGATCTAGAAGTGTATGAGGTTTAGTCTATAAAAACAAAAAAAATTGATGGGAGATTCAAACAACCTCTAAATGCAAAATTAGCTTATGCTCCAATCAATTCAGATCCTATTCTATTTTTCTCTTGATACCTTCGATACACCGGTAATCTGCATTTAGATCTATTTCAGATATCTTCTTTTTAAAAACCAGTATGGTATTGTTTTAACTCCAAGTCAAATTGTAAAATACAGCCAATTTTTTTCCCATTTAATAATAATAATAATGTAGATAATTTCTATAGCGACCACTCCCGTGTGAACGCAGCTTAAGGCGTTTTACATTGAAGGGTAGAGACGGGTGGACGGGAAGCGCTTTTTCCTTCCCGAGCGAGAAGACCGAGAAGCTGACCTACTTCTCGCCAGGACCGGTCCCAGGAACGGGAAATACTTCCCGTCTCATGTCTCAAGCAATGCTTCTCGTCTCGTGACCAATTTCTCTTCTCGCCCCGCAGTTCGAGCCACTCGTTCAGCGAGAAGGCCGGCCGTGGCCGAGATTTCTGTTCTCGCCCCACAGAACGAGCAACTCGTTTAGCGCGAAGGCCGGTCGTGGTGGGGATCTAAACTTAGAAACTTGGCTTGCCCTGTTGCGCAGGCGCAGGCGGTGAAGGAAGGTAGGGAGACCTAGGCCTAAGACCTGATCAACTCCCCACTCGCCCCGTCTCGCCACCCTCTCCCCTCCCTTTCAGTTTCACACACAGGACGGCACCGCGATGGGTGGCACTGTCTGCGTTGTCATTTCTCGCCTCTCACTCTCTCACTCTCATTACTGTTACTCGTTATGTTAAGCCAACGAGCAGTATCACGTCTCGGTACTGAGCAGTAGTTTAGTGCCCGAGAAACGAGTTCTCGGCTCGTCTCGTGCCCGCCCCTAATTGAGGGAGTGTCTACGTACATGGTAATCGGTCACCTAGCCTCAGTGTCACGTACGTTCTCAGTGTCGTCACGTACATGATAACCGGGCAGTTCAGAACTCCAAGTTCAGTTTTTGTCATCCAGTGTTGCCTTCAACCCCAGCCCTCTCTCGACTGTACCTTTTTAAAAAATCAATAATCCCCCCTTTCCAGAGCCCTATACTTCGCAGCGCACAGACTTTGAATGAACTTTGGTGACCCCAACCGGTACTCACAATGTGATGCGAAAGCACTGGTTCACTGACCGGTCACGATGGCGAGCCCGACAAGACGCTTGTACATGTATGACTTTCTTGTTTTTTCAACAAATGACAGCACAGGACAAAATATTGATTTATTTTCCTTCCGGTTACTGTGTACATAGATACTGAGACTAGGTGCCCGGTTACTGTGTATGTTGACACATACATCGTGTACGAACAATGTTTACGCGCGTGCGCGCGCACACACACACACACACACACACACACGCACACACACACACACACACACACACACACACACACACACACACGACGTACTCCTAACATGCGCACACACATGCACACCGAAACCATGATTTACGTAGGCCTATTGGCTCTGTGCTCGCACCATTTCGAATTAAAAATTCTGTTCAAATGAAAGCGTAGATGTTATTTTGCGTAAAATTGCAAGAAATTGCAAAAATTGCAAAAAATTGCGGACTTTGACGAAAAACGCAGTACGGCAAGACCGCAACTGCGGCCACAAGACCGCGATTTCCTGGGGGGCCAGTTAATGGCAGATAGCTTTCACTATTCGTGAATTGAAGGATTAAGCTGAAGTGGGTTTTTGTTTGTTTTTATTGTTTTCTATATGTAATTGATTATACAAATATGAAGTTGATCTAAACCTTGAGATGGAAACTTTCAACTTGTAGAAGAAGAAACTACTTCAAGCGATTGTTTTGATTTTTGTTATCCTTGGAAGAGAGGGAGGGGAGGGCCCTGGGAGGGAGGCCCTGAGGGCTAACCTCGCACTAACTCAGGCTTTTCCTTGCAATGTCCGGAATAATGCTGTTGATGTGTTGTACAGCGAGAGACTTGTGTGATGGCGACCCGTGTGGCTTGAAAGGACTCTGTCACAGAGATGGGAGGAACTTCATCTGTGAATGTTTACCTGGATACTCGGGTAAATTATTTTTGTTTAATGTTGTTAAATATCCTTAGATTGATGTTCAAGTTGTGAGTTGCTAGTGGGCAATCTTATGTGTGGTCTGTGGCTTTTATTTCTTTTTAAAAATTATATTATCCATACCCTTTCAAGGTGATATGAGGTTGTCATGCTGGCTGTCTGAATATTAAAACTCAACAACTTGTCTGAGTTAAACAACAAATTTTTTTCCTATTGCCAACTCACATTATGCATGTGAATGTTATCAGCAATATAGAGCTGGTAGCAAATTGTTATTTGATTGATGTTTTAGATGCAGTTCTTTCTTATTTCACTACTGTGTGACTGGTAGTTGTAAAATTTTTTTAAATCCCTGAACTGCAGGTCCCACATGTCAAGTGAAAGATGACAAGTGCTCCAGCAGGCCGTGTCTGCACGGAGGCTCTTGTACGACTTTGGCCAATAATGGTTACAGCTGCCACTGTGCACAAGGTGGGTTCTTTGTCATTTAGTCCCTTTGTGGGCTAAAATCAATTAAAAGTAGGCTTTGGCTGCCACCCTACAAAAATCAAAATTTCCTACCCGCTGAAACTGTTTGGTATGTCCCATGCGCTCATTTGACCTTATGCAGTTGCGAGCGCCGTAAAACACTTACCAGAAAAAACAAAACACTTAAGGAAAAAGGCGGAGGAAGAAAAACTTTTTAGAGCATGGACTGGAAAGACTGCTTATTGGACATAACTTGACTCCAAATAAATTTGCACAGAATATCATGTTGCTGTAAAGGTGACTGACATAAGTGTCTTGAGAGTAATACATTGTCTTTGATTTTGTTCTTTCCTTCTAGGATTCACTGGACGGAATTGTGAAAATATAGTGGATCATTGCAGGTCATACCCATGCCAACATGGCTTTTGTATCAATGCTGGAAGTTCCTTTGAGTGCCACTGTTTCTTAGGATATCAGGGAAAATGGTAATAGCATCTTGAAATGTAGCTTTTAGTATCTTGAATTAGTTTCCTGAACCCCAAAAGGACTGCATGTTTAAAGTATTGCTACTTTTTAGAGAACATGGTACATTCTTTTTTATGTCTCAACCCAGGTGTAAATGGATACCAACATCAGCCTGGATAAGAGTGGGGGAGAAGGTAATGGCCTGTGACTAGCCTTCCGTCAAAAAGGGCAATTGTGTGTTGTCAGTTCTGTTCCCTAATTTAAAACCAGAAATACTTGTAAATTTGTTAAAACCAATGTGTGCACAGATAAAGACCTGCACTATTATGTTACAAACTTATAAAACAGTCAGAAGAGACTTTGCGGGGCTTTTTATTTTACAGTTCTGTCAAGTAGTTTGCTGATCAAGATACTTTGAATGAGGTAGTTGTACTGATATACTGTCTCTGCAGGTGTGAGGCAAGGTCCAACTACAGTGTGTGTGAAAACATTAGCTGTGCCAATGGGGGGACTGCCTTTGACATGGGACGATATTGTGAATGCTCTTGTGTAAGTTTGTCAGTTTGTTCCAGTCCGTCCCACTCCTTATTTTGACAATGTTGAATTCAATTTATATGAAAGTCATCATTAGTCCTCAATGTATTTGTGTAAATGTCAACTTCTTCATGTGTATTCTTTAACCCTATTGTTTGCTGTTTTAAAAATATAATGTTTTGCATTAAGTAAAGAAATAATTTTTTTTTGTCTATTGTTTTCCTAAAAAACAAGAATTGGATAAAGAATAAGGACAAAATGTTATTTCTTGCATAAATAAAACAGGTGTTTTGGGATCTATAGTAAGAAAGGGTTATTCGCATCTTGATTCTGCTGGTTTTCATTTGATAAAGATATTACCTCAAGATAGTTCTTATGCAATGATGCTTTCAATAAGTATTGGAGCTTTTTTTGGTTCAGGTGGATGGATTCTCGGGTCCCCTCTGTGAGACTGACATTGATGACTGTCTCCTGAATCGTTGCCTGAATGGGGGCCGCTGTGTGGACGGGCTTAACACCTTCTCTTGTCATTGTCCTCTAGGTAGGTCACCAAGTTAGAGAAAGAATTAGATTTCTGAGGATAAACAAGGTATATGAGTCATTGGGCTTCAGCACTAAATATCTACTCCAAGCTGAGGAAGCCGGGGTTGAAAGTTTGTCTCAGTTTGTTGAATCAATTTTTGTCATATAATTTAGGTGTTTTTTTTCCTCAATTAAAAAAACAACAAAACTATAAGTCTTTCAACTAATTTTTTCTATTTTGATGTAGCAATGCCATTTTTACGAATGTCAAGCTACGTCTATGGTCTGTTTACTGATCCTTTATCATTAGATCGCTAATGTATTGCTGCAATTGTAATTACTTCTTCTAAATCATATTTTCTGTTGTTTGTGATCAAAGTGGCTAAAGTTAGTTGACCTATCAACTGGAGAATGCATAATGCTGGAACATCATTGCTGTTGTTTTCAGGTTTCACAGGGGATCTTTGTGAGCAGAATATATTTGACTGTTCCAGCTCAACCTGTCACAATGGTAGCTTTTGTGAGGATGAAATCAACGGCTATACTTGTATTTGTCCTGTAAGTATTGTCACGTGTTTTACTGGTCTGTTTTTTTTTTCAGGGGCTGAGAAACGCATGCTGATATCTCCAAAATTAAACATTTGAAATATATTTTACTTCGTTTTGATGCTTTAATTCCTTTGTTTGTCTTTGATATTTTTTTCTTGTTTTGTCAGTCTTATCACTCTCTCTCTAAATTTGGAGAGACCTGAAAATGTTTCTTTTTTTATTTATTTTCAAAGTTCCTATTCTTTTTTGTATATTGTGTATTTGTAATGGATGGCAACTGACAATTCAGTATCAAAATCAGTATAGACATATTACATATATTGGGTTTGCTCACTTAGAAATAGTGAATGTTAGCTAAGGTAAACTGGAGAAATTGGCTTTTTTTCTCAAAGGGCAAGGTTTATTTATAAAAGTTTAAATATTAAGCTTCAGGAATGGCTGAAAATATTCTTCAGGCTACAAAATATGGAAACTGTGCTTTCAGAGCTGGAGAGTGAGTAGTGACAGGTTGGGTTATAGAAGAATATTGACATTTTAATTGTCTTTTACTATTTGAAAAAAGCAAGGCAAACAGTCAATAACCGCAGAACAGCAGAAAAGAAGTAGACCTTTCCAGTAGTGCCCTCTAACTGCTTAACTTCTTGAGGTGACAAAGACAGCATGGCATCATCTTGGTATTGGCATAAAGATCTTGACAAAAGATTTGTTGTGACTTCTTCCTCACTTTTGTCTGTATTTTCATCCCCATATTTCAAGCCTGGTTACACAGGACGAGACTGTGATATTGAAGTTGACGATTGTCTATCACTTCCATGCCAGAACAGTGGAACGTGTGTCAAGGCGGGGCAAGATTTTCATTGTTTGTGTGCTCAAGGTAAAGCACTAGAAAGGAATGTAAAGCTAATGAATAGGCCTAATAATAAAAATAATGATATTATTAAAATTTCTTTAGTACCTTTCATGTTCAGGAAAATCAGGCTCAGGGTGCCTTAAATGAGATGAGTATTGTGCAATTAGATTGCAAAAATGGGAAAAAGGAGTCACATATTGCAAAAGACTTCAAAAGCTTATGAATAAACATCTCCAGTCCTGAAATAAACATCGCCAGTCCTTCTTGCTTGTTATCTTTTGGATCATACATTGCACATTCTATCATGTGTAGGCCTATACACTTTTTCAATAAATCCAAGTAACTTATTAGCAGTTGTATATGAATGTGTTTTGAACTTGCAATATTTAAAAAGAAAATATCTAAGGATACAGCAGATTGTATGTGATCTAGCATGTTGTCCCTGGTATCAGCTCCTGAATGAAAGGTCTAACACAGTGTTTGAAGTAAGGGCTGGAATTTCAAAATTGCTTTCCTGACTTTCCTGACTTCTGTCACTTACCAGATGCCACCCTGTTGAGGACAGTCTAGGGAAGAGTGCAGATCGGTCAAAGTATTAATGGACAGTTTATTACTTGTGTGCTCTGTGGTAGTGTATATCTGTGATCACTTCATGTTTGTGTCCCTAAAAAAGCTGAGTCTAGGTGATCCATCTAGGTTTGACACAACATGAAACCCGGCACTCATTAACTTTTGGGCATATAGATTTATTGGTATCATGTAAAAGCTTGTATGTTTGTCTTGCTTTTGGTGAAAAAATACCAATCTATCTTGAATAGAAGTCGAGATATTTATGATTGAAGAAGGTAAAGGTTGCCTAATGTCAGAGGTAAAAATTAGTAAGAAAATGGCTGCCAAATTTGGTGATTTCCAAAGCTAGAGTGTCCTTGGAAACTAAAAATTAACATTTTTTGTACTTCTGATCTACGTTTCTCAGTAAAATCCTCACAGAAATGTGTTTTTAAATGACCATATGAGGTGTGAGCAGAAGACCCCCCAAAACAACAACAAAACAATAAATAAAAACTGCCCAAGGGGCTGGAAAATGTCAGTTTCTCTAATTTCATTATTTTGTCAAACACCTGATTTCACCATGATCTGCATTGTTTCTTCTACGTTCATATTTTCCTAGGGTACACTGGATCAAGATGTGAACTTCCTGTTGATCCATGCTCCCCATTACCTTGCAGTCCAGACGGTACAAACACATGTGAAAATGATGAGGATGCCTTCAAGTGTACATGTCTTTTTGGATGGAATGGTTTGTCTACCAATGCCTTCCCACTCATGTAGTCTCATAGGTGGATTTCGTTATGATATACAGGATTTCTGACGGGGATATGTTTAGAAACATTAATTTGCTAAATAATACTCTACAAGTGGCAACGTTTTTTAACTTTTCTTCTTTATAATGTAGCAAATGCAACATTCTTTCCTGGGATTAACCCAGTGGGTCAGAGTGCACTACTGAATGACTTCCCCTACTACTACCATATTCTGTACATTGAAAGCACCCTGAATATGCCTCAGGGTATATGTAACAATTGACACACAGGAGCTGAGGAGCACAGGTCCGGGAGGTTCAAAGGGCAGGGCTTGAAAGGTTAAGCATGCACGTTTTGTTAAGCCGGAAGGTGTTTCAAGCATAACATTTAACATTACAGTTTAAGTGGAAATGTGTCAAGATGTGGTGGAATCAGGGGCTCGTCAATTTTGGGGCATATGGAGTTATTGGTATCATCTTAAATTTGTCCATTTGCCTTGGTTTTGAAAGAAAAAATATCCTTTTATCTTTTGTACAAGTCCAGATATTGGCGAATGAAGGAGGTGGGGATCGCCTGGTTTCAGAGGTGAAAATTAGCAAGAAAATGGCCACCAAAGTTGCGTTTCTTCTTTTAGTTTGAGAGTCCATGGAAACTGAAAATTTACATCTCTTATTCCTTTATTTAACGTTTTTCAGTAAAATCCACACAGAAATGTGTTCTTAATGGGCATGAAAGGTGTTGAGCCAAAAACCAAAAATTCAATGAAAAATTCCAAAACCTGCGGGAAAATGCCAGTTTCTTCACTTTCGTTATTTTGATGATTTACGAGCGCCTGATTTCACCTCGCTGCCTCACAAATAATAGTGTTCCAACTTTATTTGATCCTATCTCTTATTTTGTGTTATCTTTTATTTCATGTGAAAGGCACCCTGTGTGATGAGAGAGTGCTGCCCTGCAACAGCACCCCTTGTGAAAATGGCGGCAGCTGCTTTGATGTAGGCCACAGCTATTTCTGTTCCTGCCCAGAAGGATACACTGGTCCTGACTGCTCTGTGAGTTACATAACGTTTGCAATAAAAATAGTAACTGGTTTTCTGTGCTTTAATCTCTGTAACATCTCCACCCCATCATCATCATCATCATTGCCTTTCTCACCCTACACCAGGGTATAGGCTATGGACAAACACCTTCCATCTTTCTCTATCCTGAGCTAGCCTCTTGATTTTATTCCATGTCTTCCCACTTTACCGTACATCGATTTCTGTGATTCTTCTATCTCCACCCCATAGCTAACTGAATATACACACTTGAGCTTCAGTGTGCCTGCTGCTAGATACATGCACCGCTGTATGCTGAGGCATTTGTTTGGTGCACATAAGGGTAAAGATAATTAGGCTGAGGGCATGCTCTAATTTGTTAGGTTAAGAAGAAAAATAAGCCACTCAAAATGAATTATCAGAACATGTTGGCTTCTGGTTGAAAGGACATTCTTATTTTCCAGACTCTAAGACTGACATATACATCACAAAATTGGTCATTACATCAATACAGGTGAACCTATTTTGATAGTTCTATTTCTTATGTTATGTATGAACTCTCGTACCAAAGAGTAATTTTATGTCAAAGTCATCGTAAAGGAAAGTACCTGAGACACTGCCAGCAGCTCACTGGCACAGCACTTCCAACTGTGAGCCAGGAGGGGCTTGCCGGAGATTAGGAGTTGAGAATGTGTGCATCGTTTGAACTTTCTTTGCATATATAGTTGCTATACTTTGACATTATAGATAAACAGGCTCTGGCTCCTTTAGAAGATAATCTCTACCCCTCTCATGCATGAAATCAAAGCAGGATGTTCAGTTGTCAATACTTCAGCATGCTAGTGACTCAGCTGAGTGAGGAGGGTAAAAGGGACCGAGGTTACTTTCAAGAGAAGTGTTTCCCCTTTTCCTGAGCTCAGTACTATTGTTCTTTACATCCTCACACAAGGCAATACAGAATTCTATGTTTGTAACACTGTTTAGTACATAAAGAGCGTTGCAGTTACCTGTCAGCTTTTAATTCTGGGAAGCCAAAATCTCTGAGATTCAAGTTTGGGCAGGTGACTCATATTGATATCTATCACAGGATTACTGCAAGCTAAAACACAATGCATATCTCTGATGCTGCCTTCTAAGTTGTAAAAAAAAGCAGTGAGACAGCTATGTAAAAAACAGACTCACTGTTTTGTGTCCAGGGACTTTCTACTCAATTCTTTTACAGATATATCTGATCTCTTATTGAATATCTATTCATTTTTGTCCTTTTTTCAGGTGCTTGTGAACCCATGTGAACCCAGCCCTTGCAAAAATAAAGCCAAGTGCACTACAGTACATGGAAGACAGTTCCGGTGCAGCTGTGAGTCGGGCTTCTCTGGCCCACTGTGCGAAGAAAATGTGGATGAATGTGCTTTTCACCCTTGTGTCAATGGGGCAACTTGTGTGGACTTGATAAATGACTACTTGTGCCGGTTAGTAGTTTGGCTTGTTTCATTTAACACTTTTAAATAATAATAATAATAATAATAATAATAATAATAATAATAATAATAATAATAATAATAATAATAATAGATAGCATTTGTATAGGGCAAATCCCCGCTCAACAGCAAGCTCGATGCACTTCACAATCTATATTTTTACCCCAGCAGACCTGAAAGCATTCTGAAACAAACTCCACTTCCTGCAAGCAGCCATTTATAGGCGCTAAAACACTATCACACTGACCAGATCTTTCGCTGTCTATGGTCAGGTACCCATTTCCACCTGGGTGAAGTGAGGAAAATTCGTGTAAAGTGCTTTTCCCAAGGACACAACGTCGGGCCCGTGGCTCGAACCCCCGACCCCGCAACCTCACGACTACGAGTCTAGTAGCCTAACTACAAGGCCACAGACGCCACGTGGTTGTTGCTATATTGTTATTCACATTGTTGTTTTATTATTCAGCTATATGACTGATATCTTTTGACACACAGTTTTTGTACCCATAGGCTTCCCTTTCTCAGCCATTGCATTTGATATTTCGAATACCTCATGGATGGTGACCTGTTTCTTTGCAAATATCTCTATGTTATGGTTGTTGTTTTTAACACTGTGTATGGACTGCTTAGTGTTAGGCTCTGCCAAATGCCATTTTGAAAAGAGACTGTGACAGAGTCTTTCACTAAGCAGTTGGTATGATTGTTCCCCTAAGTCCCCTTTCCCATGCTCATACATAACTTTTTATTTGGAGATGTTTGTTGTCTCATGTACCTTTTTATCTATTGAATCTGTCTCCTATAGATTTATCCCCCGACCTATCCATATCTGTATCTCTGTTGATCTTTCTTTATCTGTCTATCTGCTTCTTTTGCAGATGCCCTGTGGGTTTTACTGGTCAACTGTGTCAGTTTGACATTGATGAGTGCATCAGTCAGCCATGCCAGCACAACAGCACTTGTCATGAGGGACTAGGAGACTACACCTGTGAATGTTTACCAGGTAACATGCAATTGAGATTTCTTGAAGATATTTTTTACTTTATCTCCATATAGAGAATCAATTAGGGTTGAAGAGTCATGACCTGCCTCTGTCATTTCTATGGAAGGGTTAAAGTTTCTTCTGTCTTGGCAAGGACCATCTCAGCAAGGTGGGTGCTCATTTGACTATTTTTCCATTATGGACTCAGAGAAGAGTTGGAACAGATTTGTTATCATTTGAATTGTGTTCATGTACTTTCAATTGATAAATGTAAACCTTCACTGTGCAGCTCATGTTGATTAGTTAATTTTCCAGTGTCTGTAAAGTTTTGAGTTTTGAAACAACTGCTAGGGAGATGCATGATTTTTTCCTAAAGCTTTATGAAGGGTCAGGGATCTGTAGTAAATCTAGGGGCATGTATGGGTGCCATATTGGGGTTTGGTAGACCGAAATCAAAATATTCATGGAAAAAAGGGGCTGTGACTTGTTACATAATGATTTCCTCACAAAACTATACTTTTTAAAAGAGCACTGAATTCTATACAACATTGCCAAGCCTCATCAACTCTAATAAATAATAAATGTATAACAATACTTTTAAATACGCATCCTTTGTCACACCCAATGGCTGATTTGTTTGATGCAATAGTCAGGACACAAACAATTTGTCTGAGGTGGCATGTTCAGGATAAAAGGAGTTGAACAGATTATAAGTCTTAACTTTAAGATGTTTTTATTTGACAGTTCTTGGTGGGTAAATGTTAGGACAGCCACCTGAAGCTTTTCTTTGATATCTCATCTACCAGAATTAATTTTCCTGGATTTTCCTGATCAGCCAGAATTAAATTATCACTGTCCCATGCTCTTTGGACTATTTTGAAAAAAAAATTTGAAGGTACTCAATTTTAGAAACATGTTAGACATTAATGCCTGATTGGTCACTTTTGCTATTTAACAGGATATACAGGAAAGCAGTGCAGTGTGGAAATTGACGAATGTGATTCCTTCCCGTGTTTAAACGGAGCCACTTGCGTTGATGGCCAGGGTTCATTCAGTTGTTCCTGCCCGGAAAGATATACAGGCACCCTCTGTAATGAAGTTGTCCCAGGGTGTAAGGCAAACTCAGGATGTCTAAATGGTGGCTCTTGTCTCATCACCCAGACAGAGGAACTGTGTGTCTGCACGCCTTATTATTTGGGACCTGACTGTGGGAAAAGTAACTTACTTTATATGATACATATTTTGAAAAACGTATTTTCTGTAAAACAGAGTTGGACGATAAGGAAGGGATAGTATTAGAAGTCTTATTAATTTTTTCTTGACCAAGTATTAACAGTAAAAGTAATGAATTTTTTTAGAAGAGTTATTTTTGCTAAATTTTTAATTGTTTGTCTAAAGAAGGGATGTTAGGGGAAAAAATGTAAGCTCTTTGAAGACTTATAATTTCCATTTACTTTACTTGCTAATGACTGTTTGTAGTAGTAGGAGCAGAGAGACCATTTTTACCCCAATCCTATGGGCCTGAACGTAGGCCTGAAAAATTAAAAAACAAAGAAGTATAATAATGAAGGTTCCTAATCTCATTCATAACTTGTAAAGTTCACATTATGCAGTTCAAATGCATGCTTATTTTGATTGTTGTCATAAAAAAAAATTGTTTGACTCCTTGGGATGTATGGGAATTTGTATTTGTTATATGTTAGCAACAAAAGTGCATCTGGATCATGGCTGTATTTTCAATCCATTTTTTCTTTTCAAGTTGCAGTGAGCAATGTTTTTAGACACTCTAAAATTTTGGCAAATATATTGTTTCATCTTTATTTTGCTTTACAGAAAAGTCTCCAAACTATGACCTGTTCTTTCAAGGATTGATGGACCAGTCCCATTCTTCTTTAGACATGTCAGTGGAAAATGTTCAAGGATTTACATTATCTCTGTGGGTTCGATTCATGGACCCTCAGGCTAATGTGGAATACTTATCTCTTACTACCGATTCTGGGTGAGAATGGTTTGGTCTTATTGATTAATTAACAACTTGTATCAGGAAATTGGTTCTTCTCATTAGTAGGGGGGACTCTGTTTGAAGAATGAAAGTGTTTTTCTGTTCCGGTGAGTCATAATGGATTGGTATTTATGTGGAGATTATAGTATCAAGTGCTGACACCACTTTTAGTCTGCCTGTCTTTTTAAAATAAAATTCTTATGTATCTCTCTCTCTTTCTGTGTCTCTGTTCTCTGCCTGTCTTTTTCCCTCACTCTCTTTTTTTCTTTTCTAATGTGGATTTTGCCTTCACAGTAGCTTTTTTAAAAGCTGTTATCCCTGTCCTGATAAGTGTAGTTCTTTAAGCTGTTTCATTTGAGTTAAAAATAGGAACTTTTTCTTCAGTGACAGAACATGTGCACAAGGAATTTACACTGTCCCTTATCAAAAGTTGACTTTCTGTGATTGACTGCCTCCTGCTAAGTAAGGAGAGTTATGAATACAATTTCTTCTAACTTGTCGGAGTGACCTTTGTAATGATAACATAGTACACATAAACATCATTACAAAATCTACTCAGATGTACCTGTGTGTTTTTAGATTTTGTGTATCATTTCAGTTGTGTTTCCAGAACCCTTGCTTTACATCATTTATTCGCTTGTATACCTACCTCATGACATGATTTTACATTACCACAACTTTTACACTGGCGTGTTGTATTTTGTCAGGAATGAAACTCCCTACCGCAATGTTTTAACTTTGACTGGCTCAACGGCAACTCTGCCATATAGTGCAGTCCAAGATATTGTCAATCTGGATGTAAATGATGGACTCTGGCACCACCAGTGCTGGCTGTTTGGACCGTCAAGATGGGAGCTTTACAGAGATGGAGAGAAGTTCCTGCACGGTCAGATGTCAGCTTTTGAACTTGGAAGAAGGTATTTAGATAACGTATTCATAAATTGTCATTAAAAAGTCAACATTCAAGTTTAATTTTCACTATAGTGATGATCCTTTGAGCCATCTTTGATGATAATTTTCTCTAATGTGAGTTCTGTTCAGCATTCCAGATAGTTGCATTTTGGAGAGACACAAGTGGAAAAAAAATATATTTATGATCTGTGGGTTTCAGGATTCTGCGGATTTCAGGCACTGTCAGTTGAGGTCCTTTACCTGTCAGTTCATCAGGAAGCTATTCTGTTACATTCACACAACCTGACAAAGTTATCATTACTTTGTGTCAGCCTTTACTTCTATTGTAAATTAACTGTGACCCTATTCTCTTGAAGGGTTCTTACAGAATCAGGGGATGCTATTATACATCATTTCTATAGATCATTATCATGTCATCTAGGTAGTTTATGTTGATCCCCTCTTTAGACATCTTTTTCTTAATGAATAAGGTGGATGCCTTTGTTGATTAAGGACTGTATCTCCTTGTTTGGTTTTTATACCGATTTCGAGACATTTTTTAATGTAGGGAATGATATGTTGTTTTGACATCTGTTTCAGTACGCAAGGGATTCCACAATTTTAGGCCCCCAATTTGATGTGATGAAGGGTGTTACCTTTAAATGGCTTTTATTCAATCTAATATTAATTGATGGATTTGTTAGTGTGAACAAAAGTAACTATTTTGAATTGGACAGAGAATTACAATATGGTTGAAAATAGGTTGCAAATGTTGCACAGGACCAGGTGTAGATCTCGGGACGGACAAAATCGTTACTCCCAAATGCTGAAATACAGAACCGAAAATGCCACTTAAACAGGCGATCCGAAATCAAAATGTAAAGGCAATTTACAGAGATGAATACTAACCGCTTATACACATTTTGTTATTATAAGTTTTATCTCGACATTGTTGATTCTAACTTCCCTTCTATGCTAAATTTGTGTTATGTCTGATAAATATAATATCAAAGTAAAACATATTTTATAATTGTTTTCCCTTTTTTTTTTTTTGATTAGTGGAGGTGTTATGTTTTATTTTGAATGCTTCTGGTTGTATGTTCTGTCATTTCATAACGCAAATATTTGCTGGAGTTATGTCTTGCCAGTTTCCTCTGGATGTATAATACATGTAATGATTTTAAAAAGAAAGTATTTTAGGAATACTGATATGGTGATTTTTGTTGTTGCATTTGTTTTTTTTCCCCTTTTATGTTTTATTTTTATTTTTACATGTACTTTTCCAGCACAACACTGCCTTTTTGGAGGTTAAACATGTTTAAAAATTCTCAATTAACTGGCTATATAAAAATGTATTGTGCCCTATTTCTGTTCATTTTACAAATCAAAAGATTTTTAAGAGCTGTTGAGTGACTTCTAAGTACTAAAACATTACAACAACAATGCTATTTGTATAACAGATTGCAGCTTGCACTTGGTCATCCACTCAACACTAAGGAAGGTCAGAAGTTCTCTGGCTACTTTCATGGAGTCAACTTGTATAGTTATCTCCTGGAGGAAACAGACATTGTCAACCTTTCACTCAGTTGTCAGGACGACCATTTGGTAAGTGCAAATTTTTTCTGAACATGAGGACCAATTAATTTAACTAAGTAATCAAGTGAATCTAAACAAATATATTCAATTAGTGGAGGTATGACTTTTTGTGTTTTATCTCGTGCGCTTCAAGGAAACTTTTTTCAAAGCATGTACGTGCTGTCAGAGAAAGTCTCTACAGCTTATCTTTATGATTGTCTTCAAACTTCTTTTGATCTTGTTACAGCAAAAACTTGATAAAGCATGTTTCATAATTTCTGATTAAAGAAAAAGTTAATTCTCTAGTGAGCAATTTGTTGTCAAATCTTTTCTTTTTTTGTAACCAACATTCTGCGTGGAAAACTAACCTTAGTCTGTTAATTGCACAATACTTATTCTTTCAGATGAGTGGTGACCTTTTTGACTGGGTCACAGCAAGTTATTATTTTAACAACGGCCCAACTGAGGTCATCATGCCATCTACTTGTCAACAGAACTCGTGTGCAGTGGGTCAGACAGCAGCTCAGTGTGGTCTAGTAATTGGTAAGCCTTCGTTCAGACATTAAAAAACTGCAAAGTATAGGGCAAACTTATGTCGTCAAAATGTTGTTTCATGTTGTTTTATTTTTTCAAATTCACCTATTGGCATACACTTCAGGATCAAAAACAATTCTTCGAAAAGTACTCTGTACTACGATGCATGGCATTTTTTGTATGTGTTTTACCGATAATTTACCGATAAATATGTTTTCGCAGCTGCTTATATATAATTTGGTTTTAATGATGTCTCATCTTGTCTTGAAATTAGTATTGATAGATTTGAGGCAGAAATGTACTTGTTTCTTCTGGAACGCTTTCAGTTGTCATACACAATCACATTTTATTTGTTTTTCGTTCTCCACTGTAAAAGAATGTAAATGTCTGATTATGGAAAGAAAACTAATTTATGAAACTTGTCTGTGAATCTACATGGTAACAGACAAAAGTCCTCCAGAGGTGCTCAGGTGTCCTCAGACGGTGATTGTGACCAATGAGATGGGTTTTGCTGTTGTTGACTGGGAGGAGCCAGAGTTCTCTGACAACGCGGGAGTGGTGTCGGTGAAACAAAATTATCGAGCAGGTAAGATTTAAGTTGCATTGGGAGGATTTGACTTTGTATTCCTTCTTCTAATGTGAAGCTCACTCTTTTTCCAATGGCTGGTTTGTTTTTAATATTTCTCCCTCTGATTCAATAGTTAAGATAGTGTTGCAGTCTGCTAGGCACTCAAATGCTACAAATCACATATTTCAATGTTTTGGCTTGCGGGTATTGTGTGGGCTGAGGAAAATATAGTCACACGCATATCTCTGAGGTTTGAAAGATTGTTTTAAAATGTTTGATAAAACTGAACAGAAAATTTTAAAGAATTGTTTATTGGTTTAAGTTAAGATTTAGTAAATAGTTAGAAAAAAAAGTATTCTGAAAGATATGAATTACATATATATATTTAAATAATTTAAACAAATTTCTTCTGCAGGTCAAACCTTGCCTCAGGGGCATTATGTTGTCTTTTATGTAGCCTACGATGCAGAGAACAACTCAGCAGAGTGCTTTTTTGATGTTTTTGTAAGAAGTAAGTATAATAAATGTGTTTTGGTCTGGTAATGAACAGTGTAGTATGTTTTGATAAAATGTGGAAAATAATCGTCAGGAGACTTGCATATTAAAATGAACAGAAGTAAAAATACAAACAAGTGTTTGTGTATGCATGTGTATGTGTGTGTGTATGTGTGTGTGTGTGTGTGTGTGTGTGTGTGTGTGTGTGTGTGTGTGTGTGT